CCGTGCGCTTTCCTCTAGTGGAGGATGGATAGCTGTCTAGCAAGAGTGCTCCATACTGGAGAATCATCCCAGGAGTGGGCACACGGGGAAAACCGCCAATACCAGAGTATCTTAACTCAAAGAAGGTCCTCATGTCAGAAACGTAACAGAGGTGACACAACCATTTGGAGCGGATGAAAAGTAACCACACAAATGCCAGGGAACCACGCAATGAACAGTGGAGAAAAGGGTTCGGGCCAGAGGAAGGGGGTGGGGGAAAGGGTTCGGGCCAGAGGAAGGGGATGTGGCCCCCTGGAGACCCAAGTCGAGACGCTGTGACAGCCATCTGTGGCCTGAGCTGAGGTGTATTTATTTATTTATTTGGAGTGCTTGTATGCCGCCCCATTCGCATAAGCTTCGCGGCGGCTTCCAACAAATAAATAACAATATACAAAAATATACAGAATTGGAAACATCCCGGAGTTAGATAAAAGCAATAAATAATTTAACAATTAATTAAAATAACATTTAAATAAAAAGGTTTTGGCCTGGCGCCGAAAAGCAAATAATGACGACGCCAGGCGAACCTCTCTGGGGAGCGCATTCCACCCGTGCACATGTGCTTTCGAGGAAAGGCTCCTGCACCGAAGGCTCTCCTTACTGACCCCGTACCCCTTCCTGTTCCCACATGGGTGGGATGGGGAGAGACCAGGTTCACCATGCCTCTCCCACCCCTCTTTTCTCAGCTAAACAGCCCCAGACAATGTGGTGGAGTTGGCTTTTGGGGACAGCCCACGGGGGCTGGAGCCCTGAATCGTTCATCCGAGCTGTGCAGAGCTGCGGAGCTGCCTCCCCTCCAGCCTGCTTGCTGTCCATGGGCCGGAAGCAGTGCTAGGGGACCGCCCCCTAGGCTGGAGCCCCAGATCGCCAGGGCGTCTCCCGCCATGCTGCGCTCCAGGGCCTCTGAGCATCTCTGCTGCGCCGGATCCCCATGTGGGAGTCGGCCGCTTGCCCCTCCTGCTGCCCCGACTTGAATCTTTCCTGAATTGCTTGCCTGCCCCTCGGGCCAACATAGGTTCTCCACCCCTGCCATAAGGTTGCCATAAAGCTTGCACAAAGCTGGCCACTGCCAGAGACCATTTGCTGGCCCAGATCATGCTTTGGTTCTGATCCAGCCGGGCTCGCCTCCTGCTCTCATGACACCTCCCAAATTTCAGCTCTTCTTTACTCACTCTGGTCCAGTCTTTGCCATGCTCCACAGGGCTGCATCTCATCCGAGGAAGCTCTTGTCGGAGGTTTGTTTTTCTTATTATCCGAGCGTAGCATTATCTCTTTTGCTTTGCCTATCTCCAATTTCCTCTTGCTACGATAACAGATATGGATCCCTGCCTTTGTACCTGCCCACCTCCCCAGCCTGGCTCAGCAGAAGAATAAGTGCCTATCAGCTGTGGAAAAAGACAAGCACCTTTGCTAAAGGGAGAAAGGTTTTCAGAAAAGGTTGCTCTGCTCTGCAGCTGTTTTTGAATGGCTGAATGCTGGAGCAGGAGGGAGCGTATCTAACCGGAGTGCTGTCCAAACACGAGTGCTCTGTGGGAACGCTCTGGACACCAGCACTGTCTCAGGAGACAAAAGCCACTTCCCCCATTGTAACATAAGTTACAATCTCTCTCCTAAGCCTTAGTTACCGGTATTCACAATACTGAGCTAAGATCTGTGCTGCCTGGGGGTGTTTTGGCCATGCCCACTGATGGAACTCAGGCCATTACTTTCTCTGACATTGAAGTGGGCTGAGCGCCTTCCCCCTGCCAAAAAAGAAGAAAACCTATAGGTCTGAAGAAGAGTCAAGCCATGTTGACATCCTGGACCATCACCTGGCAAGCGAACTCACATAGCAAGGCTGTGGGGAAGCAAAGCCCCTTCATCTTCACAGCTCCTCGGCTTGAGACCTTCCAGGTTTACCTCCAAGATCTGAGGAGCAGAGGTAGCAGCTACGTCAAGCAGATACCCAGAACAGGTGGCAAGCGACTCGTTGGGTGGCACAAGGCCTCCCATCGCTGAACCTGGCTCATGAGGAGGAAACCAAGCTCCTGGGCCCTGGGAACAGGCCAGGACGAATTCGAGCAGCAGGAGCAGCTGTAGGTCTTCTCCACATGGTGCGAGAAACTGCACCAGCATTCCCAACTCCGTGCCCTTGAGAGGGGTTGGGCTGCAATTCCCGTTGGCCCTGCTTCCTGGGGATGATGGTAGCTCTTGTTCCAACATAGAAACATAGAAGCAGAGTGAGTCAGAAGGGGCCTCCTGGGCCATCTAGTCTGACCCCTGGCTCCAGCCGGCTCCGCTCACGACATGCCCACCATGTGGACGTCCAGCCTATCCTTGAACACCCGCACCAATGGGGCCTCAACGACCTCTCGTGGGAGCCCATTCCACCCCCTTGGGGTCCTAACTGTCAGGAAGTGCTTCCTTGGCTCCCTAAGCTTTGCTCCGTTGGAGTGTGAGCGCCAGATTAGGGAGAGGGGCTAGTTCCAAAGAGTGAGGAATGAACCAGCTGCTGGAAATTAGCAGGTGGAAAAGTTATGGCCCAGAGTAGAAATGTGTGCTGCCTTTTGGCCATGGATGCTAATGCTTGGAAGCCATCGGGGCCGCTAGGCCAGAGAGATGACAGAGAGAGCTGTCCGCAGATCCCCCACAAACCTTCCCTGAACTCTGGCCTCCAGTGCAAACCTCTCTCATCAAAAGGCCACCATGGGGATGAACGCCCCACCGGCCCCACGCCATCCCAGCTTTGCCTGCCAATCCGGCAGCTCCTTCATGACAGTTCTTTTTAACAAGTTCACCCGTAACAGCTGCCACTTGGATGATGCATGGCATCATTACCGTTCTTCACTCAGCAGCGCGGTTAAAAAAATAATAAAACACACACGCACGCCCCGCCAAAGGCAATAAAAAGGTTGTAATTGATGGCTTTCTACAGGTAACCACGAGTAAGAAGGCTATGCTCACAACTCAACGGCCGGGGAGTTTGACGAGTGCAAAAGGTCTCCCGGTAGCGCCGTCTCCATCCCTTTTGATGGCTTGCTTTCCATGGACACAATTCATCCAGAGCAGCTGCAGGAGATCCATATTGTAAATAAGTTGTTGGCAGCCGACCACCCACCACGCCGGCTCATCTGTTGCTTAGCACAGCGGCAGTGCAGGCGCCTTCTCCTCTTCCACAATGTTGTACGTCTGTAGTTTGGTGGCAGGTTTAGAGTCGAATAGCAGAAACCTGCAAGGCGACACAGAATACTACGCCGGACTCGTGTGCCATGCCGCTGAAAGCAGTCACCGGACTTCAGTTACCCATGCATGGATAACCTCCAGACAGGACTACTACAGAGAATTCTTTGCAGGGCTGCCTTTGGAATGACTTGGAACCCTTCGTAAGTTCATGCCGCCGACTTTATGCTGTTGGGGTGGCGACCAGGGTTACTTGGGGGGTGCAAGGACAAGATTCCGCTTGGACCCTGGTTTGGCTCAGACCGGTTCGGAGGCTGCCCACTTCGTCTCCACATTGTGAGTCAGAAATCCAAACCGCCATGCCACCATCGACGAGTTCAACAACTCAATGCATAGCAACTTTGTCAGAACTGGGTGAACTTGGCAGGAACAGTTGCCCCTTTTGAAGGGATGACTTGGCTGAAGTTGAGGCAAAAAGTTGGAGGGACTTCTGTGTGACACACCAGGACTTTTTATATTTCATTTCAGAAACAGGTGAAATATATATTATAGCCATATCCTGCCTTCTGTTTTCTTTCAAGGAACACCATTCTCTTCCTTCTCTCAAGCTTATCCTCACAAGGTTATAGGCTGAGTTGCAAGTCTATGACTGGCCCAAGGTCACCCAGGGAGCTCCATGGCCGAGTGGGGGCCAGAACCCGGACCCCCAAGTTCAGTCCCCATTCGTAACCCCCACACCACACCGGCTCCTCAACGGTATGAGGACAGGTACCACTTTTTCTGCAACAACTGCCTGTATCATTTGAGGGTTTCCAGAAAGGTATGCCATGACCCCCCCATGTCGGAGGTGGGTGAAACATCATCCACAGGCTGCATGCAGCCCCCTGGAGGTCCCCGGCCCCCATGGTATGGGGCCAGTGTCACTGCTGCACTGGATTATCCCACTGATCTTCTGCACGCGCCTCTTTCCCAGCAGCAGGGCTGGTTGGCAGAGAAAAAGGGCACCCGAGGATTGCATGCTGTTTCTCTACACACCTGAGCTCCCTGCAGCCTGCCAAACACCCAGATACACCTCCGTAAACCTGTGGCTTTGTTGCTTCTGTGTAATGTTTTTCAGAAAGTGCCCATGACTGATTTAACGGCTCCCCCCACTCCTCACCACCATTTTAGAATGCTTTTCTCATCTATTTAAAAATCTCCAGTTGGCAACCCCATCTTTTCTGACATGCCTAACAAAGCTTTTAACCCTGCTGGCATTTCTTGATTCTCAATCATAAATAGCCACATTGATTTTTAAGCATTCTTTACTGCCTCCAAATAAATGTTTTCTGAGCCGGCTGTGAAGCCGCCGTAAATAGGAAGGCTCTCCTTCTCCCCACATAATCCAAGCGTGGCCACGTGCTCCAGGGGGAAATTCTGGACAAGGAAATGGAAGAGCGGGGTGCTCCACACTGCAGGACTGATGACCCCAGAAATAAGAGATACAAGCATTTGGGCATGGTGGAGAATTCTAACAACTTTGTGGGCGGACTGCAGCACAACCATGGGAAACAGCTCTTTGGAACTGAATGGTTCGTCGGGAGCACGTTCAGCCACTCCATCAGACACGCTAAAAAGCCTTCTGAGGAATCCAGAGAGATTGGCTCCACCCTCCCTTTTATGTTTTTTTCTGTACCTGCACCACACGGTCCTAAACCAAGTCAACGGAGCCAGTGAGCACTCACCGGTGCAAACTCTGCCTTTCCTAGGAGCATGCTAGCTCGACTCTCGTGCCCTTAAGTACGGCAATTTTTATTCATGGCTTTATTTATTTCTGTATTTATTTACAAATATAAGGGTAATGCTGCCTCAAGCAAAACACAACCTGGCTCTGGCAACATACTATTTTTTAAAATCCCAGACTGTGATGCCGAACAGCTTCTCAAGCCCTCCCATGCGGGTTCCTTGGTTTTCACGCTGCTTTGTTTTAAATTTGGCATTCAAGAGGCATGGTTCACATAATGCCTCCCAGCCACTCGCACCCCATCTTTAAACAGGACGTTCAACATGCCCCCCTCGCCTGCCTGCGTGGCTCTTAAAGCAAGGTCCTTCCTTCCTCCTTGGTGCCAAAGGGCGAGCGCGATGCTGTAGCACCCGACTTCAGTGACAGATCAGCGGCTTCCCCCTGTGCCTCAGGAGCACAGAGGACACCGGCCTGGTGCTCGGACAGCTCCGGAGGCTGCCCTTGGCCAGCCACGATCTGGGTTTCCTCTGCAGCACGACAGGCAGGCATGGTGATGGAACCGGACTTGGCGTGGCAGCGGTCGCCCCGTTTTGGATTGTGCTGCAACGCCCGTCATCCCCAGTGCAGGTTGGGTGGGAACTGCCATCCACCGGGAGGTGGCGCCCGCAGGGAAGGTGGAAGCTCCTGAACTGGGGGCCAGCCGGGGGGATACTGGAACACGGACTCTTCCTCGGCGAGGGGACTAGAAGAAGGGAAAGAAGCGCAACATTGGAAAGGTTCTGTTTAAAGGAGACTCGCACCAAGACGGAGCCAGGAGTGTCGCGGTGACCGTATTACAGCAGCAGTGATCCTTGCAACGCCCCTGCGGGGAGGGTCTGCGTCCTTGTCCACCGGCCAGAGGCAGGACAGGAGGCAGTGCAGCTGGAGCAAGGCTGCGGGGGAGAGCTGAGGCAAGGCTGCTGAAGCCCACGGGTCAGAGCCTTGAGTTGCAGGAAGTTACACCACACACCGATCAAGTTTAGTGTTTGCCCATCAGCAGGGGGACTGGCTTGCGGGGGTGCAGCCAGCAGCAGCAGCAGTGGGTGAGATTTCTGCCTTTACAGGCTGGGATGGTACTGTCTTTCTCTCACACTCTTCCCATGCATGCAGCACCCTTGACCCTCTCTCTGGACCAGCTGGACTGCCCGTTCCCTCCGCCTCTGTGTGGGGCCACCGCATTGCTCCCCTCTCCAGCTTCCTGTTGCTTTCGCCTTTGCCACAGTTAACGTGGGCTCCGTCTGATCCTTTGCAGAAAACCGCTCGCGCTCGCCCTGCTCCATCACTGGGGCTGCCTGGGCTCCGGCTCACGCTTTCGCCTCATCACCCACCCACCCTCCCCCCGACAGAGAGAGGGAGAGGGATGGGGAGAGGAGGAAAAGGGTGGCGGCGGCAGGGATTCCCAGAGAGGGGACCTCCTGGCCAGGAACCAGGCAGTGCTGCTGAGCGCACATGTGTGGGGCAGGGCTGCTGGCTCTTGCTGCAGGCATGTGGTGGCTCTCTGGGACCACCTGCCCCCAGAGACAGGTGTGGGACTGCAGCCCCCGCCCCCCAGTGTGGGAAGCACACGGGCCCAGCACACTTCGAGGGCACCCACACGTCCTGGGCGGCTCTACGCAGCGCTGGTGCAGAAGAGGCTGCGGGGAGAGGCAGCAGCCAGCGAGGCCGGGGGCAGGCTGCCAAGGCCGGAGCAGAAAGGCAGGAGCACTGGGAGTGAGGGAACGAGCGGGGCCTGGCACCCACCCAGCCCTGCTCAATTAAGCCTGCGGCAGACGGTCAGGTGCGCAGAGACGCGGGAGGCCAGGGAGGTGGCCCGGCTTGGCCAAGAAGGGGAGAGGCGGCAGAGGAGCCCCCAGTGGGGGGGGGGGGCAGCATCTCCCAGGCCTTTCGAGGAGAGGAGGAACTCCAGCATGCCCCCACCCCCAATCCACCCTCTGGCAGCCCCAGGATGAGGGGCACAGACACTCGGCCAAAGCAAGGGATCGGCACACACGGAAATGCAGAGTGCATTTGGAAGGCGGGCCGCCCCCTCCCCACCCAGAGATGCGAGGGCAGCCCAGGCCCACCGCCACCTCCCTCCCGGACCACCACATGCCTGGGGCAGCCTTTGGGGAAGGCCGAAGGGTCCCTGGCCCTCCGCCTTCCAGGGCTCTCCTCTGGCCCAGACTGCTCTTCAGCGACGGCCAAGGGAAGGGCTGCGGCTCGGGCAGAGGGGCACTCCACATCAAGAGCTGCCACGTCCACACCCCAAATCCCCCAGATGGGGCAGGGCAGACCCGCCGGGAGCCCTGGGAGCCGCTGCAGCTCAGCAAGCAGAAGACCAGACTGCACCAACCCTGCCAGCTTCTTTTCCAGTGTGTTTTCTTTGAATTGGCACATGTCCACTGCTTTGCTTTGCTTTGCTTTGCTTTGCTTTGCTTTGCTTTGCTTTGCTTTGCTTTGCTTTGCTTTGCTTTGCTTTGCTTTGCAGGCAGCAAGCCTCAGGTTGAGCTCCAGGCCTCTCTCGTGAAGACGGCCGTCTAGGACAGGCCTCCCTGCCGCCCTCCGGCCCGTGCGGCCGGCCACGCTGAAGTCCGAGGCAGCAGGAAAGTTGGCCAGCGAACCCCACCTCTGGAAGGCACCAAGCTGGGGAGGGCTGGGGTCCGGAGAGAGGGGGAAACCTCTGCCCGAAGTGGTAAAGAGCCAGTGGAAGAAGCCAGAGCCGGGCAAGAGGCACAGAGGTGTTTTGACACCCGTTCCCAGAAGCTTCGACAGCACGGTCAAGGTTCAAGGATGCTAGGAATCGGAGTCGAAAGCAGCTGCAGTTCGGCGTTCCACCCACCCCTCATTGGAAACTTCTTCCAACATTCCTGCAGCTTCCTTTACAAAGCAACAATAAATGGAAAGGCTGCAGAGGAAAAGGCTGACCGGCAAAGCCCTTGGTGCTTGGGAAATCAGCCAGGCCTTCTCCCTCCCTCCAGTGTGACTGCAGGGACCATCTGGAGTCCTGTCGGACCACCGCTGAGTGGGCGGTGGGGCACGTACCTGTCGGCCACCGCTGTGCCACGCTGCTTGGCCCTCTTCTCCAGCCAGCCGTCGACGGTGCCTAGAGGGAAAACCGCCCCGTCAAGCTGCCGCTCTTTGGCTCTCTTCTCCTCTGTTTTGGGGGAAGAAGGAACATGTGAGGCTGTCGCCCACGCCGTTATCGCTGTGCTCCGTTCTCCCACCATCGGCCTTTTGGCAGCCGGGGTTCTGGCCCAGGTGATTAAGAACCTCCCGCCCAGCTGCTGCCCTCCTGCAGTCGGAACGTTTGGCCGCCACAGGCGGAGGGTCTGTTTCCCACTCCCACGCTCGCCTGGCACCTGGAATGGCTTTCAGAAGTTCCACCCTTCTGGCCTGGAAGTGTCTGTCTGGTCTGGGAGGGTCGCCAGTTCCACTGACAGGACGGTCACCATGGCAGTGAAAGCGGGAAACGGCCCGCCTGACTCCGGCTGTTGGCTTCTCCGTGCGCTGAGAGCGAACAGAAGCTCCAACTGCCGCTCCCCCACTTCTGGCAGCCCAAAATAACCTTGTGCTTTTCTCCCAAGGACAAAGAGGATGGGTATGTCCGGGTGGGCAAGGAAAATGTGGATCAGGGGAGCAGAGGTGCGGTCTGGACGTCCACGGGCAAGCAAAGGATGCTAAAGCAGGACTCGGCGAACCCGGTGCCAGAGTATCGAACAACCACCTCCAACGTTCTGCAGACCCCGAGTGCAGGTTTCCTGCATCAAAGGAGGGGGCCCACGAGCCTCCCCACCCACGCCGACGTGCAGCATCCAAGAGCAAGCCATCTGCCTCAGTGCTGCGGGTCGAGCTGGTCCGATGTCCCAGGAGTGCCTGGTGCTGGCGCTGGGAAGCGGGATGAGGCAAAGACTCGTACTGGGAAGGAGGGAGGGTGTCTCCCGCCCTGACTTCTCACTAATCTCCTTGGATTTATTTCCCTCTTTAAACTGTGTTACGTCACCTTCGAAGGGTGGAACGCCCTTGCCGATAAGAGAATTGCTGGGTCTTCTGGGGTTGGGGGTAAGGGGAGATATTCATATATAAGCTGGATTTCTGCCTCATTCCTCCACTCTGGGAAGGATCTGCTATGGGTTTGCCACTGGAGTCTGTGCCATATTGACCATGTGCCTTTCCTTGTCTTATAGCACCAGGTGGGGGATATGGGGCTGCTGCCAGTGCCATCGCAACAGGCCCGGAGCAGGGCAGACCTCACCTGCGTGACTCTCCAGAGCTGCCAGGAGAAAGGCTCTCTCCAGAGGAGGCTTAGCTTGCAGCGCTGGCGCCAAGGGTAGGCACAACCAGGCAGCTGCTGAGGGCCCACTGTCCACAGGGGCCCACCGGCAAGCAACCCCTGGAGTTGCCCTTTCCTTCGCCATTGCGGTTTGCCTGGCCTTCTGGCCCTGGCAATGGTGGCAGGGAGGAGACGCTGCTGTCCTCCGTGCTCGCAGGCTCTCTGCAGGGGAGTGGTGGCGAAGAGGAGGAGCTGGAGCAACTGGAGGCCATGGCGGTGAGGAGGAGGGCAGACTCATGCGGGGAGCGGCCCACTGTGGATGTCCTGCCCAAGGGACCTCCAGGCCCTGAGCTGGAAAGCTCCCACACACCTGTGCACGGCTGCAGGCACAAGAGCAGAACAGGCCCCAGGCAGCGGGTAGGCAAGGCTGTCTCCCAGAAAGAGGAATGCCGATTCGTGCTTTTGAGGGAGGGAGGGAGGGGGGGAGGGAGGGAGGGAGGGAGTGGGGAGCTGATCAGGGTGCCATCCTGCCCATGGAGATCTTGAGTGCCTCCTGCCCCATCCCAGAGCGCAACAGGCAGCTGGAGGCGGGTGGTGCACCGTGTCTCAGGCTGGCGCATGGGAGAGGCGGTGGCTCCGTGGGAGAGCGCTTGCTGCACTCCAAAGGTCCCGGATTCAACCTTGGTGACTCCAGGCCAGGCTGAAAGCATGGAGAGCCATTCCTGTCCATTGCTGATCATACTGGACGAGGACCCATTCCCTGACTCAAAATAAAACCCGTTAATGGATTAATTAACATACATTAACTATGGGTGGTTTAAACCCACACTGACACCATGGATTCCAGGTCCATATATCACAGGATAACCGCCGCTCTGTGGCTGCATATTCAAAAAGGCGGCAATACAACCTTGGCCATTGTGAGACAGTTAAGCCATGACCTGCCACCATTCTGTGTGAACTGGACTCATTCTGTGTTGGAATGAACTTCAGCTCTTGGGCAATAGAAAGAGAAAATAAATAATAATCTGCTTTCAATATGCCAGGCTATTTAGAGAATCGGGTTATTGGCATGGGTCTCCATGCAAGTTGCTGGAGGACATTTAGCAAAGCAAAAACAAGAAGGCGGTGAAGAAAGGGAGATGAAGAGATGCCCATCACCTCCTGACAAGCCGCTTCATCGGCCTAAGGGAATAAAATGGACAGACGTACAGAGAATCCTGGAAGGGACCAGAAGGCCCTGGGGTCCAGCTGCCTGCTCAGTGCAGGACACCGTTAAACTAGCCTTCCCAGATGGCGGCCCATGCTGTCGTTTCAAACTTTGTTTTGATGCATTTTATGGTCCTTCTGGAGGGGAACACAAGCTGGAACGCTTTGCTGGTAGGACAGTTTGCAAGCACAAGAAATGATGATAGTAACAACCAATTCTGATGGGGCTATTGAATTTGCAGAAATGTTTGTTTTAGTCTTTAGACACTGTGAATTGCCTTGCCAGAAAGGCAACTGAAGGGTGTTAAATAGATCACCATACAAAACAAGCACGCAGTGAAGATCTTAATCAGACATCTCCCCATGTGGCGCCACCTACTCTAGGAGGCAGGTATTTAAATACTGTGTTCCTGATGCCAAGAGAGCATCCAACAACAAAATGTGTCCCTTTCACCTCAAGCACCCTGCCTTCAGCCTGGTTTCCATACCTACAACATCAGCAACAAATGGCTTTATGAATGGAGTGCTTTGATAAAACAGGCGGAGTCTGTAATCCTCCAGAGAAGGACTGCTAGGCATGCTGGGGTCTGTAGTCATGTACCTGAAGGACTTCTTCCCTGTGCCCTTTGCCCCTTCACCCCCGTTTTTGGGGTCAAAAAGGAGACATAAGTTTAAAGGGATGCTTGGCAGCTGCTTTTTCTGGTTTTGATTTTTTTACACTAAAGTAGGCACAGAGCCCCACTGCTCCCCCAAGTCCAGTTCTGGACCCTGGTGGCACTTGTAAGATCCAGACAGGGTCAGATTTTAAAAGGTCCATAACCTCAATTATGTACACACCGTATGTCACTGTGTATTTGCATATCACAAAAATACCATTGTTGGAAAAAGCTATGCATAAATGGCAGTCCAGATGTAAATGCTTAGCCTACGTTGTCTCCTGCTGGCTTCTCTTGAGGATGATTTGTTTTTGTAGCATGCAACAGGAAGCGAATTTTTAGAAGTGGATCAGGCGTCCTGCAACTGCCTTTCAGTAAGAATGGAAAGCGCCTGCCGCTGGCCCGTTCTCCTTTAAAGCCATGTCTTTCGACCCAGGGCTACGCCTGACCAAGCACGTCTCTCTGCCCTGCGCAAGCTGACAACAGAAGCATTGCCTGGCACCCAGGATCTGAGCGTCGCACGTCTGACGGTGGGGTTCCTTTAAGTAACGATGACTTTCAATTTGCAGGACTGAAGTGGAGGGTTGGCAGAGGGGATGTTGGCTGGGCACTCCCAGAAGCAAGCAAGCCCCGCCCACTCGCTTGTGCTGCCATGTGGCCCACACCAATAATCGATAGCTGCCTAACTGGTGAACAAACAGGGCAAGGCCGGGAACGGCTGCTCTGCTCTCCCCATCTCCTCCGCCCCCAGCGAGGACGAGTGTTGCTGGCTGGGCCAGAAAGAAAGGACGGAGGCCCCGCGGAGCATCTCGGGTGCCGCCCAGGCAGCCTCTGCCTTTGCTCCGAAGCAGCTGGGGCAGTGGGGGGAGGAACGCGGATCGAGCACCACCTTGTGTACGTGGAGGCATTGCACACCGAAGGGTTTGAGAGATGGGGGCCTGCACAAACTCTTTACTGCACGGACTGACTAACAGTGAGCTTGATCCAGGATCTGCCTTCCACGAGAAGAAAGCCCCTCTGCCCAATTTTGGGGGTCACCCTCTGCCCACACAGCACGGCTCACGCTGTTCAACAAGGCCCCCTTTTGTGTAGCATCTCAAAGAGGCTGGAACGGCTCCCATGGAAAGTGGGAGGGGGAGGAAGGCCACTTCCAAAGGCTGTACTGATCCAGCATAAATCCGAATCCAACCCAGTTCTGACCTGCCACACGAGAACTTTCCCATTCTCAGGGTAGCCATCAGTAAGAGGCACAAGAAAAGCAATCTAAATAGAGCTATAAACCACAAAACATCGCAGCAGAAAAATTCTGGTGCAAGAAAATAAAACAACCATGCTTTCTCGGAGAGAGAGAGAGAGAGAGAGAGGGATTTGATGCCAATTTAAAAGATAATTAGCAGCACAAAAGTTTAATAGTACAATCCTATCTGAGTCTACCCAGAAGTACCATCAAGTTCAACAGGGCTTATTTTCAGGTAAATGGGAACAGGACTGCAGTACAGGCTTAAATGCAGGTATCTGCATTTCCCAGACAGGTAACTGTCTTTTCTTTTGCTTTCCCCTCAACAAAAGAGCACATACAAGGCATGGCGGGCAGGCGGGGGGGTGGGATCCTCCTCGGCCAATTCCACAGCCCTGACCCAAGCTGCATACCCAGCTCCATTCAGGACTTCAAACAGTTCTGAGCAAATCTATGCACCTCCCACTTCAATTGTCTTTTGGTCCTCCAGAGAAAAGGCACCAATGAGCCTTTCTGCTTTTAAACCTCCCTTAGGTGGCCCAGTTCATCCTCTTCTATCCTCACAACCACCCAGCTGGGCAGGGGAGGCTGCAGTACCTGAGGGCATCTCACATGCTTCCCTGATCTTGTTGCAAGGACACCCTGTCTCTTGGGGCCATTGTTATCAGCCGTCAAGCTGTCTCCAATCGATGGTGACCTGACCCTAGGAGTAAAAGCTCTCCCCAGTGTCCTAGCCATGACGGCCCTGCTGAGCCCTACCAAATCCGAAGCTGTGGCTTTGTTTACGGAGGCAGCCCATGTCACGCAGGGCCTCCTTTTTCCTCACCTGCCTTTGACTTTCCCCAGCATGACTGTCTTCTCCAGGAAGTTTCCAGGTTTCTTGGGTTGGCAAAGGAACACTTCTGCCTGCTTGAATGCTAATGCTTGAAATGCTTCGCTATGATCCCTAAAAGGAGAGCGTGTGAAAGGGCGCCCACTTGTGTCCACAACAGGGAGCAAGGAAAAAGCAGACGCAAAGGCAGGCTGCAACTTGAAAAACCAGCGCCCTCGGGACCTGGCACCAACTCCCCTGCTTTCCGGGGGCGAGAGGCTCTTGTCTCACGGAAAAGAATCCCGCAGCAGCATGGAAGAAGGCCTCACTGAAGGGTGTTAGGAAAAAGAGCAGCAAGTATTCTTCTGCTCTTTCTGCAGTGGTGCCATCAAGGTCGGGCTTTATGGGCAGAGGTCAAGGCCCCCAATCTGTGAAACAAGCCGGAGGGCCCCCAAAAGCTGCAGCAGGACTAGTGTGTCATATCTTAGCAAAAGCCTCTATTCTTGCAGCAAGCTTGGAAGAAATGCAGAGGCGGGGGTGTAAGTCCCATTACTTAAGCCAAGGTCTGAATGTGAAAAGATATGGCAGGCAAGCCACTGGGCCTCCCCACTGTTTCTTGCCTTATTCACATGTCTGTGCAAGTCAGAGCAGAACCTGCATCTTTCCCAAGCCCAGCCTGCTTGCTAGCACAGCAGGCGAGCAGAGATCTGCAGGTTGCTAGAGAAGTGAAGGCTTTAAAGGGACTCAGGAAAATAATCACAAGACAGGGTGGGAGAGGTCAGAAAGATTAGGATCTTGCCCCCCATATTGTCCAAACTATGACTGGGGAAATTAAAAAAAAGGAGGGGACCCACATCTCTCTCACCCCAACAAACATCTCCTATTTTCCCAACATTTCCCTCCTAGCCTTCACCTCCCTTTGGGTGAATCACTGAAGCATACAGTTGGAAGGAGCCTGGAAAGCCACCCAGGCCAAGCCTCTGCTCAGTGCAGGACTCAACCAGGCCTGACCCTGCTTAACTTCCAAGATTAGGCAGTTCAGGCTATATAGGTGCTTGAAGTCTGGACTTTAATGTGGATGATCAGAAAGGATTTCTGACTCCCAATCTAGCGATAAGCACAGCCAAGTAGCTGGCAGCCTCTGCCCCCCCACCCGCCACGTGACAGGCATACTGTCGAAATGAAAACAGCTGCAGGGTGGAGTGGGGCATACGCCTAGGCATGGATCTTGGTTCAGAAGGGCAGTGAGTTCAGGTCTGGTACTCCAAACCAATCCCTGGACTCAGAATTCTTTAACGTGTCTTTTGCTCTTGGTTCCAGCAAACAACATCAACAACAACTCACATACAGTAAATGTTTGCAAGCCTTGAATTCTACCCAGTCCTGCACTACAAGACCTGGAATAGAGGCAGAGTCTAATTCTGTATTTCTTTGACTGCTGTCCTGCCCAGCCACCCTGCCCTGAGCTTGAACACTAGCCCAGGAATTTGGCAGAAAGTTAAGAAATGAGAAGACATTAAAAGCCCTTGAACATTTAGAGAGAACAGATCCTACAATTTCAGATCTTCGTGTTACACTTCCCACTGCACTACACTGTTCATGGCAGTGTTTATCTGTGTTTCCTCCCTCCTCTCCTCTGTTGCAGCTGCAAGGTAGAGAATCAAAGTTCCATGTGGACTAGTTTCTGGTTGGGCAGGTTGGCCAAACCCTAAACTGTGGTTCATGGAAACATTCAAGCACACTTTAAATTCATCAATTTTGTATGGATACATAATATATGCATTAGAAATACAAGTGTCAAATGCATTTATCTCTTTGTTATGGAGCTTCTTCAGTAAATAATATTGTAAATGATTATTGTGTGTGGATAGGTTTTATTTTAAATTTGCCTTTTTTCCTTTTCTTTCTTTCCCCCTCCCAGCTCCTTACATGCTTCCCAACTTTCTTTGTTATTATATTTGCAAACTAAAAATAAAACAACTATGTGGAAGACAGACAGCGGCATAAACAATTCTTTTGTTTCTTCTCTGAAAGAAGACTTAGTGTAAAGTCTAAACCAGCTCAATATGCCGGGCATATTGAGAGGTAAACATATTGACTGCACTTCCCTTGTTCGACCAATGTATGTGCTCTTTGGTCCACAATGGCTTTCTGTTTGTAATTCGAACCTAACGGCTTGTTTGGTCTACACGTTGCACAGTTTGTACAATATCATTTCAGCGATCGCTTGGCATTTCCTTTGGGCAATATTTTGTGCAATGCTTACTGTTCTTGTGACCCGAGCACCTACGCTAAATTGTCTGGATTTTGTGATCAAATGCCTTTGAGGAATAAAACCTCGTCATTTGGGGGTGGGCTGAAAAAGGACCGTGTTGTTATGTATGCCGGGAATTCTAGGGCTTTTTCTGTCAAAAAGGCTATGGGCTGGCACCCCAATTCTCGCTTTTCCTGATCTTCTACCTGGAAGGCCATTTCCACATGCCAGGCTGCTGGAAGGGAGGTGGGTTGTGAAGAGGCCTGCCTGAGGAGACCGCGGCAGAGGAACCACTGAGGCAGAGCAGGCCACCTGGGAAGGCCAGGGCTTCTCGGGACAGAGGATGTCACCTGGGGTGCCGCTCCTGCCATGCTTCTCTGGAGGACAAACTGGAGGCCTTCCCCAACAGGGAGGAGCTGTTTGCCTTGAGGGACCTTGTGGGAAAGTGGGGCTCCCAGCCACGCGGAGGGCAGGCTTCTCGGGCAGGGATGGGCAAGCCGTGGCCCTCCAGATGTTCTTGCCCGCCTTCTCCGCCAAGCCAGTGAGGGGGGATGGTGGGAGCTGCAACCCTAAGCACCTGAGTCACCAGCTTTTCAGCGACAGCTTGAAGGCTCAGGCAATTGTCTGGGGGTGGAGGAGAATGGAGGACTCCTCATGAGTAAGGATATTTCACGGACAAGGCTCTGCTGGCAAGTAGAGCTTTCCACAGCTGGCACCAATGACCCACTGTTGCATCCTGGGTGGGGGTCCAAAGGCTCAGGCCTAAAACCTTTCTGTTTGAGGGACTGTGAGCTTCTGTGCATCTTCCTGACCCCGAAGGAAGATAGATTTTTTTCCCGGAATTCCCTGTGTTCAGACTGCCGACTGACTCTGACTCAGTATCTGGAGCTTTCTTCCATGTCACACTGAGCAGGACATTAATGGGGAAGGGCATGGGCCAAGCCACTGCGAAATCCTGCGATTGTGTTCTGCTTGCAGAAAAATCCTTCAGCTATTGCCTACCTTGGACCTGTGTGCTCAGCTTCTCCAAATCTTCTTCTGTCATGTGCGAGAACCTACAATTGGAGCCAAAATCGCACTGGCCTGCAAGGAAATCCAAACAGAGGCACATGAAGCAGAAACTGCCCAGGATGGCAGGAAAGTCTCAGTCAGTCAGAACTGATAGCAGGACACAGTCGCCACAATCATAAAACAGTGCCTCTGATTTAGATTCTGGTATCCCCAGCAATGTTCTAAAGGGTACAGTTTCAAATATCGCAAGTTTCTAGGCATCACAGAGATATGAGAGGGTGGAAAACAGAGGCTGAAATTTATGTGGACTGAACGCTAAAAAAAGTTCCTTAAGGATCTGGAAGATGGGAGTATTTTATTCAGCATAGAAGTATGTCCCTCTTCGTCCCTCTTTGCTCATTGCTTTGAAATATTCTGAGACCCAACTCACCTTCCCTGCTTTGCAGTAAAGCAGCAGCAGAAAGTCTAGGATTTTGAACATGCTGCTGATGCTCAACTCCTTTTTAGAAAGTGCAGTCAGTGCAAAGAGAATTTGCCAGCCACGTTTTCAGTCCTCATTTCCAGGCATGCTTAGAGTAACAGGCAAGACCATTATTGCTTCACTGGCGTTGACTCCCTTTGTCTATTGCTCAGCCTGATCTAAGATCGAGTCAATGCCTTTGAAGACCAGAACAGCCTGAATCCAGGGTACTTAAAAGGGATCCACTCCCATGTGATCCTTTGTGTCCTACTAGAGCAGTCTTCCCTTAGCGCTTTCTGGATGCGTTGGACTACAACTCCCATCATATTCAGCCAACATGGGAACTGTAGTCCAACACATCAGGAGGTGACAGGTTAGGCAAGTTGCTTTAAACTCCAGTTCTGTAGTCAAGCATTATGGGCTGGATCTAAAAGCCCCTAATGCTTTGATTCAGGGAAGGCTCCAACTAACAGGGGAACAGAGGTTTCCCCTGATTCCCCGCGCCCCCCCCATAGGCCCCTCTGCTGTTCGAGAGATCCTGCCAATCCTCTGAAGCAGAATTTCAGCAGGCACAAGGGAGCAGCAGAGGAATCTGCAAATATACCAGTCTGTTACTAACAACATCTTTTCTCTGAACTGAACTGAACTACAGTCATGGGATTTGGGGCTTCAACTCACAGACTTATTTTAATAAGAAGTAATTGATAGACATTAAAAGGCATAATGATGGCTGCTAGCTTTGAGATTCCATAAATCCATGCAGGGGGTGTCACAGTTACTCATCTTTTTACTGGCCACCCAGGCCAAACAAAACCTCCAAGTGCAGTGGCAGTATACCAGTTGTCATGGAAAGCCCAGCTGGCGGGCTTCCGGAAATCCTCTGGTTCATGTGCTGGGGAAGAGTATTATAGAGGAAACATACCTGTTTGCAGGAATTTCCGACAAGGCTTCTTGCTCTGCTCTTCCTGCAAGATGGCTGCAGCATCTGTGAAAAACAAAGGACAACCTGAGAGGGAGAATGAGGCGGCTGCATCAGGGTGCTGCAGATTGTGCCCTTGTCTCTCTGGAGCCTTCCCCCCCCTTATTATCACCTCGCACTCGCCTGGGAGTGAGTCCCATTGACTTCAACAGGGCTGTTTCCAAGACACAGGATCAGCCACTGCACCGTACGAGCCTCTCTGGAACAAACTCCAGCTAGACAGGTGGCTGGAGGGAATCCAGTGTTATGTATAGCCCCTCAAATACACCGGCAGCTGCTCCATCTGCTCAGCCATGGAGCCACCTGGGTGACTTTGGGCCAGTCACAGACTCTCAGCCCAACCTACCTCACAGGGTTGTTGTTGTGGGGATAAGATTGAGGAGGAGAATGATGTAAGCTGCCTTGAGCCCTTTATAGGAAAAAGGCAGGATATAAATCAGAAAATAAATAAATAAACAAACAATCTTGGGGTGCCTTTGGCTCTGTTCCAGGAGGTTGTGATAGAAAGATTCAACAATGTCTGTTTACATTACAGGTAGTCATTAGAAGGTCCACACAACATGGATGTTGGTCCTGGGGGACTTCAATCTCCATGCCGAGTCTGGACTGACCGGGGCAGCTTAGGACTTCATGGCCTCTATGACGGCCATGGGCCTGTCTCAACACGTCATCGGCCCGACCCATGAACGTGGACACACTCTGGACCTGGTATTCACGACGGGGCAGGAAGAGGATGACCTGAGGGTGAGGAACTTATGTTTGACTCCCCTGTCATGGTCAGATCACCTCCTGGTGAGGTTTGTGCTCGAGAGCGGCCTCTCCCTCTATAAGAGTGCAGACCCGATTGTATGGGCCCGCCCCCGGAGCCGGATGGATCCGGATGGATTCCTGAAGGCCCTGGGGGAGTTTCCGGCTGACAAGACTGGTGCTCCTGTCGAGGCTCTGGTAGAACTGTGGAACGGAGAGATGACCAGGGCTGTGGACATGATCGCTCCCAAGCGTCCTCTCCCACCGGGCAGAGCCCACTCTTCCCCTTGGTATACACCTGAATTGCGGGCGATGAAGCGAGTTGGGAGACGGCTAGAGCGTAGGTGGAGGAAGTCACGGAATGAATCTGACCGAACACACTTGAGAGCCCACTATCGGGCCTATGCTGTGGCGGTGAAGGCGGCGAAAAAGAAGTTTTTTTCCGCTTCCATTGCCTCCTCACAATGCCATCCGGCGGAGCTTTTTCGAGTGGTGCAAGGCCTGGTTCGCCTGGGTCCTAAGGAAGATCCGATGCCACCCTCAAAGGCCCGCTGTGACGACTTTGCCAGGCATTTCAGGGAGAAAATCGCTCAGATTCGTCATGAGCTGGACTCCACTAATGAATCGGAGGTCTCTGAGGAGTCACCAATGCTACCGTCTGGTCCAAAATTATTGGAAGAATTTCAATTATTGCAGCCCAATGATGTGGACAAGGTGCTTGGACGAGTACGTCCCACCACTTGCCTATTGGATCCTTGCCCATCTTGGTTAATAAATAACTCCAAGCACGGGATTGGGACCTGGATCTTGGAAGTGGTTAACGCTTCTCTGAGGGAGGGTCGAGTGCCTGCCCCTTTAAAGGAGGCGGTAATACGACCGGTCCTGAAGAAAGCGTCACTGGATCCAGAGATGGCCACTAACTATAGACCTGTGGCCAACATCCCGTTTCTGGGCAAGGTGTTGGAGCGAGTGGTGGCGGGACAACTCCAAGCACTCTTGGATGAAACTGATTATCTGGATCCTTTTCAGTCCGGCTTCAGACCTGGGTACAGTACTGAATCTGCCTTGGTCGCCCTGTACGATGACCTGTGCAGGGAGAAGGACAGGGGGAGTATATCCCTGTTGGTTCTTCTGGACCTCTCGGCGGCTTTCGATACCATCGAACATGGTATCCTGCTGGATAGACTTGCGGGATTGGGGGTTGGAGGCACTGCTCTGCAGTGGTTCCGCTCCTATCTCAACGGTCGATTCCAGAAGGTAGTGCTGGGGGACCATGTCTCTACGTCATGGCAGCTATGCCATGGAGTACCACAGGGCTCCATTCTATCCCCTCTGCTATTTAACATCTATATGAAACCGCTGGGAGAGGTCATCAGGAGGTGTGGGCTGCGGAATCATCAATACGCTGATGATACCCAGCTTTACCTCTCGTTTTCCACTAATCCAGGTGAGGCAGTGGCTGTGCTGAACCGGTGCTTGGCCGAGGTAAGGGAATGGATGAGGGCCAATAAACTGAAACTCAACCCAGACAAGACGGAGGTCCTGTTGGTTGGCGGATCGGGTTTCGGAGAGGGTGGATTTGACCTGGTCCTGAATGGTGCAACACTCCCTCTTAGGGATAAGGTCCGCAGCCTAGGAGTACTCCTCGACCCGGAGCTTTCTTTGGAAGCTCAGGTGACAGCGGTGGCGAGGAACGCCTTCCTTCAGCTTCGGCTGATTAATCAGCTGCGCCCCTACCTGGAGTACGACTGCCTGGCGACGGTGACACACGCGCTGGTGACTTCCCGCCTAGACTTCCGTAACGCGCTTTACGTGTGGCTTCCCCTGAAGACGGTCCGAACACTTCAATTGGTGCAAAATAGAGCTGCCAGGTTGCTGACGGGGACGGGGCGTTATGCTCACATGACTCCAGTCCTCCGTCAGCTTCACTGGCTTCCCATTGAAGCCCGGGCCCAATTCAAGGTGTTGATTATGACCTATAAAGCCCTAAACAGCTTGGGTCCTGGCTACCTGAACGAGCGCTTGCGTCCATATATGCCCGACCGCCCTTTGAGATCTGCGGGAGAGTCCCTTCTCCGGGAACCCTCCATGAAAGAAATTAGGAGAGTAAGTACTCGGAGGAGGGCTTTCTCTGCGGTGGCACCCAACCTATGGAATTCACTCCCCAAAGAGGTCCGCCTGGCACCGTCGTTACTGGTTTTTTGGTGCCAGGTAAAGACCTTTTTATTTAAACATCATTTGAATTGTTAAAACATATGATCTGGCCAGGGCAACTTCTTCTTCCTTCTCTTTCTCCTCCTATATTTTTATTTACTTAAGTTATACTGATAATTTTAATCTTATATTTGTAAACCAATGTATTTTTGTATTTTGTATTTAATGGCAATTTATTATGTGCTATTGTATTTCATTGTATTTTATCGTGTTGTAAGCCGCCCCGAGGTTTCGGCAAGGGGCGGCATAGAAATGTTGTTATAATAATAATAATAATAATGGAGAACTGATGCCTGAGTTTTCTTGTGCTCTTTTTCCCTCTCCATCCTTTTTCCTCTAGTGTTGAAAATGTTTATTTTGTAGACTATAGGGCAATGCCTGTCTTGTTTTGATTTATATGTAAGCCACTTTCCAGTTGAAGAACAAAGCATGGATGCTTGAAACAAACCAACCAACCAACTCCCCCTTCCCACCCCCTTTCCAGAATGCAAGGAAGGGTAAACCATTGCCTACCTCGAAATAGATCATACCAGATCTTCTTGGCTCTGAGGTGCTGGACACCATTGAGATGCTTCTTCCTGTTGTGGAGATTGTCCTGGAAAGAGCGGTTGCAGTAGTCACAGAAATAGCGCTTCCCCATTAGGTGTCACAGAAAGAAACCTTCTGCAAGAAGATCAAATACAATTTTGCCATACATTTCTAAACAGCACAGCTAAAATCTCCCCCACCTGGCAATGCAGAACATCCTACTCTCCATTGAGCAGGCCTGCCATCTATTTCAGGCACAGCTAACCCAAGGGGAGTGAAGAGAAATGAGCAAGGGGTCTTAGATCAACTCAAAGCAGAACTCTCCTTGGAAGCAAAGCCGGCAAAATTGGAACTGTCATATTTTGGGCACATCCCTAGAAGGCAAGACTCTCCAGAGAAGCCAGCGATGCTAGCGAAAGTCAAAGGCAGAAGAGGAAGGCCAACTGCGGGAGGGAAGCCACAGCCCTGAGCTGACAGGAGGGCACTCCGTCACAGGGTCGCCCTAAGTCGGAGAGAACGTGGCGGCACATCCCAAAGATGCAGGGATGAAAATGACCCAGGCGGCGTTTTGGGCAGAAAGGGGCATTCACAATGCTATGCGCTCCAGCCACGGTTATACTTCCGTGGAACATGTGCGTGTGGGATGACCCGGCGAAAAGGAGGACAAAAGCCCACGCACGCACAAGGGAGGCCCTTCAGCAAACAACCCGCGCGAAGAGTCAAAGCGACTGATAAGACGCGGCAGGAAAGAATCGCCTCCAGGCAGGACGGATCACCTGTACAGCGCCTCACACCCCCAGGAGACCAACCCCACGGCCCGCCTCTCCGTTCAGTTCGCGCCCCTTCCTCTCATCCGCCAGCACGAAAGATGCGGCACGGCGAGGCCTACAGAAGCCACGGCAGCGCAGAGGGAGAGACTACGGCTCCCAGATGCCCCAGCGCTCAAACTCACTTGACCGCGATGGCGGCGAGGTGCTCCCTGGGAAAAGTAGTCTGTCCGCATTGGAAAAGCTTGTAATTTGGGAAGTGAGATTCCAAAGCCCAACATTCCGCGCGAGAAAGGACTTCACGACCCATGATGCCTTGGGAGCCGGCGGCAGGGCCGTGGCTATACAAGACAGGAGTGCGCAGGCGCAGTAGGAAATCCGAGCGAAAATGGCGCTGGGCAGCAAGGTTTATAATCTCCTGTTCCGGCGCACCTCCTCTTTTACTCTCACGATTGTGGTGGGCGCCGTGATTTTCGAGCGGGCCATGGATCAGGGCGCGGAGGCCTTGTATGAGTACCTCAACCAGGGGGTAAGTCGGTGGTCTGGATGAGGTGCTTACGTGAAACGGCCGTGGGGTCGGCTGAAGGTCAGGCGGGGCGCTGCTTTGGCCTCCAGGCTTCTCACGGAGCAGGATTTCTGTGTCGCTCCATGGCGGAGCATTTCTCCGTGTGTACTGGCGCCTTCCCGAAGATGGTAGGAAAGACCCCGTCAAACGAACGCTTCTCCGATGCGCCTTGAGGGGTCTGTGGGTTGCATTGTGTTCACTTGCCGAGAAGAAAACCCTAGTGAGTTCGGTGTAGCTAACCCTCCGGCAAGCGTGCACGGGCCTCTGTGCTGGTCTGGGGGTGACGGGCACTTGCCCTTGCTGTGGTTCGATGCGGCAGTCACCGTTTGATGGCGCCTGCTCCCTGTACTTGCAGTTGGGACGGTGAGTTAGAGCTCTGCAGTTCATTCTTAAGCGCCTATGAAATTATGATCACTTTGCAGCCGCCTGGGTCGTGAACGCCTAGAAGGGTGACTGATGGGTGCTAATTAGCATCCAGCATAATTTAAAGAAGGGTAGCTGTGCTAGTCTCTTAAAACCGAACACAGAAATAGTTTTGTGGCAGCTTAAAGATGGGTAAATGCATTATGGCCATAGCTTTTGTGGATCACAGTTTGCATCCTCAAATGCATGAACTGTCATTTTGCATTACCATATGAGTATATGCATCTCTTATCACTTAATGTTTCTGATAAAGGGTATTGCCCTCAAAAACGACCTAGTGTGGTGTAGTGGTGAGCATGTTGGGCCCAGGAGATTTGTGTTCTGGCCTGGGCCAGCTACTGATTTTCAACCAAACCTACTTCATAAGGTTGTTGAGAGAGTAAGATAGAGAGGAGAATAATATATGCTGCTTTGGATTCCTTACAAGAGGAAAAAATGGTATCTGAATGCAATAAAGACAAATTTAGCATTATATATTTATTAATCTTTCGATTGGAGCAAGGGTACTAGTTCTCTTGTTACAACAGATGAATGTGCCAGCCCTGCTGGAAATTGAAAGACATAGGCTGCAGCTCCCAACTCTGCTGGCTTCTGCAAAGTGAATGCCTTTTCTTCTGTGTAAACACACACAGCCCTTTTTCTGTTGTGCCTGATGCATGGAGTAGGCTTTAGCTAGTGAAGGCATGCAGGATATATTTGTTAGTCTCTCAGGTGCTACAAGCATATGTAAGTATATGCAAGAGAGAAAATGTAATATTACTCAAGGTCACTATATGCTTGTTGAGCCAGGTGGCATTTGGCAAGTTACGGTCTTTCAGTAAAACCATTATGTGCACAGAAAACCAATTTCCTCCATAATTAATGACTGCTCTCTTCTTCCCCTGCATTGGTAATTGAGAATTATTTTCTCTGTTCTCATCCTCTAAAGGATATATTTTATTTGAGTTACTCTTGATATGGTAACTATCTTGTTAAGTGGAGGTAAGGAATATGTAATAAAACAAGTTGTAATCTCCTATACAATTAGCTGAATGCTTGAGTTTGCAGAGAGAGAGAGAGAGAGATCTATGAATCCAAGGTTCAATTTGGGTGCCAGCAAGTTCCTTCTGACAATTAGGACCCCTGTGGTATGGAATGGGCTTCCACGGGAGGTGGGTGAGGTCCCATCGGTGAGGGTGTTCAGGGATAGGCTAGACATGCACATGGTGGACATGTCGTGAGTGGAGCCAGCTGGAGCTGGGGGTCAGACTAGATGGCCCGGGAGGCACCTTCTGACTTGCTCTGTTTCTATGAAAGGCAACCTACACACATAGTGACAGTCCATGGGTTGTTAAAACCATGGCTTGTTGGGGCTGAGCAGCTGTGAGTGGCTTAAAACTGGTTAAATAAGCTAGTTATTTTGGGGGGATGGGGGGTTAACACTGCAGTAATTGAAAGTGGAAATGATGAGTGCATGGGTGGATTGCTCACTTCCACTATGTTTTGGCAATGACCCAGGAACTTCTGTTATGTGTGAACCAGGTCACCATCTGAATTAACCAGCTGCATGCTGCTTGGTCCTGAGGATACCTTCAAGGAATCCTTAGGACCTAGACCTGCTCTGCATCCTGCATGGCGCACATACCTCTGTTATAAGGATTTTGCTGTCTCTTTGTGGTCTGATAGTACAATTGTTACATTTGCAAAGTTTCAGTTCCATGGAACTCGTTTCATGGTGGAGGGGCCATAACTCAGTGGTGGAACACATGATTTGCATGCTGAAGGCCCCAGGTTTCACACCCAACATTTCCAGATCGCTTTCTCCAAGAAGGGGCAGGAAAAAATTTCAGAAGAGTAGCTGCATGCACGTCGTCCAAGGTTTGATCCCTCTATGAGAGTGGGGGAGAGGTCCAGCATGTTCAGGAGGGTCAAGGCTTTTACTCTGTCTATAAGACAGCCTCTGGGTGTCCCATTTTCTCAGTGTGGTCTGGTGGGGCAAAGAATACTGATTCATGCCTTTGGAGAAAGCCATTTCAAGGAACTGTTGCTGCCAGCAAAACTACCTCTGCTCCCACAACATGTTCTGTTCTCCCCCCCTCGCCGTCTGCATAGTCAGGACTGCACCTCAGAACTCATTTGTAATACTGCCTCCCTGACTTCCTTCAGATCCCTCCTTTTTCCACCTTTGGTACAGCCCTGTAGTTCCTATAGTCTAATACGACTAAGCCTGAGAGTCACTGAAATAATTGCATAGCCTTCCTGGTCTCTACTGATCTGTCCCTGTAAGTTCCTCAGGACGAGGGATCTGTCATTGCTGTTCTGTAAAACAGTACATGTTTAAGGTACTATGTAAGTAATGAAGGTATGTTATTATTGAAGTCAGAATCAACTCCAGGCAAGAGTTCTGCTCACGAGGTTGGTTCTTGTTTTTACTACTGGAACCAAACCCAGTAGGTTTGTCCTCTTCGTGGGAAATGGGGAGACCACAGTATTGCATTTGAGGCAAAGAGACTGTTGGAAAGGCCAAGAAATGGGTAGGAGCTACTTGCCACGCAAATAGTGTGGCAGTATGAATAAAACGAGGGGGTGTGGATTTCTTCTGGCCACAGTTCTAAATACATTTGCTACGGAATAAGTCACATTTAATTCAGTAAGGCTTGCTTATGAATAAATATGCTCAGGATTATATTGCTGCGAATGTTATCACTTATGAAGCAGACACACATCCTGTTTGTGGGGGGTTTTTTGCCTGAAATTATCTAACAGTGATCTTGAGAGGTACCTCTGTGCTTTGTTAAATATGCCCCAGCCATCCTGGGGGCAGTATTTACTGGTCACTGCCAGATTGTAATTTCCTGTTCAGTTGAAAGTAGACATTCCTGATGCTCTTGCATAACCAACAGTGTTCTTGTGTCTCACTGTGCAGAAAATGTGGAAGCACATCAAGCACAAGTATGAGAAGTGAAGAGTGAAGCACAGATGTAGGATTCCTGCAGGACTTTCTTTGATCTTCACTTCAAGCCCTTCTTCCTGACCACCAGCTGTTAAGACAGCAAAAGTTCATCCATATGTATCAGTTCGAGCCAGAGCGCACACTCTCGGGGTGACAGAAAAGCTACCTGGACTCATGGACTTGTGCCGAAATGTGGTTTAATAAAACAATATTCTCAGATATGTACATCCTGTACTGTAGATTTTTCATTAATTTTCTCTGAGCTGGAAGCCAGAAATCTAAAGGTATTTGTTGGCTTTAGCTTATTTTAGCATCTGTCCAGCGAGTATATACTGCTTTAGTCCAATATTCAGGCAACAGGGAAAAGTCTTAAATGGGTGGTGCTCCAGGCTGTACTTGGAGCAAAACTGTGCAGTCTACCCTCTCTTTCTAAAGGGAGTGCTTCTGCTCAGGATGCTGATCCATCATAGGATAGACTCAGATAGGGCATGCCAGTAGCTCTTCTGAACTGTGTTTCCCTTTACACTGACAAGTCAACGCTTGGTAGCTAATGAACATGTTCAGTCTGCACTGGGCTTGCCCTTGCCCCATCCTAGCTGATACCCTCCCTCGTTTTTCAGTAGTCCTCTTACATGCCCATTTCTGTTAGTGCTCGCCACTTGAGCTCAGTATTGGAGTGCTGATACTTGAACAAACGCTCCATGTTCTAGGTTTAGCTTTGAATCCGCCTGTTAAGAGCGGAAGGTGTGTCCTTTAACACTCTGTCTTGGTGCATTAATTTTCTGAAACACACTTTGCAAGTACGTATTCTATTTCACTCATGTCTGAGCAGGCAGCTCAGCAGCGACAGTCTAAATTCTGGACTAGTGGGCCTGTGGTCCGATCTAGCATGGCAGCTCTTATGTTAGGTGCAGAGGGGTGGTGAAGATTAATGTGAATGCAATCAAAAATCCCTTCTCCATGGCACTGCTCTAATTTAGCCAGACCAGTCCAAGTGGCTATTCTTACACTGTCCACTTTGTCCAAACTCAAACTACTAGGCAAGGTGGCCCATGTTACATTCCTTCCCCACTCCTCATTGTAAGCAAAGACAAAGCTACAGTGAGCTTCAGGAACCACTGCTTGCCCTCTGGTAGTCGTAGTGGAGTCTCCCCCTTGACTCCCGAGGCTGCAATAACCACAAGGACAAGGCATTTGGTTTGTGAGAAAATGAGGCCCAGAAATGGCCTTTATCCTGAAAGGAAACATCAGTGCTGATGAAGAAAAGCAGCCCTATCAAAGTACAAAGAGCAGTGGATTAGGTAGTACTGTATTGATTTATTCCTGCAATGATCACTTCAGGAAGATGCATCCTTTGTTCTAAGTCTAACAGAAAAGCAAATACCAAGTTGCTTTAAGGTTTCTTCTCCCCTGCAACCACTCCCTTCGCTAACAGTTGTTGGCACTTCAGGATGAACTGCTTTTCCTACTGCAGTCTTGTGACTGAAAATGCCAGAGACAAATTTAAAAGTCTCTGCTGGTACACCTCACTGAACTGCCTCAAACTTGGCATTGTATCTTGTCTTGGAGATTACATTAGGTAGGGTTCACTGCCACAAAATGAATCCAATTGACAGACTCGGATTTTGTTCCTCGGGAGGAAATGCTGGTGCAAAACTTTCAGCACCTCAGTGCTCTAGGGCAGTGTTCAATTACAGGAAGGTGTTCCAGCCCACCTGGTTTGCTGCTCCAGCAGGAGCTGTCATATACCAGCTGCATTTACCCCACCACCCGCTGACATATTGCTGTGTTAGTATCACAAGGGACCAGAGCTGACTAGAGAGTCATCAAGCATTGCAGAGAAATTTGCTGGTTTGATACAAGCAATACATTTCGGCTTCTTTATGGCCTCCCCTCACAGTTTAATAAAGAGAAAGCAGTAAACCCTCATGAAATCAAAATGGATCACAATTACCTGGGAAGCTGAAAATAGGTGGGGCCTTAATAAATCTTAATAGAAGAAGAGGTGGGAAGCGGTGGGTTCCATAGAAGTGGGTCCTCTGAGCCCACGTTCCTCCTTACCTCAAGGACTTTTTTGTGGGGGAGGAGCCAAGGGGAGGGAGAACATAAGCTGCCTTTGACAGCCAATGTGGCACAGTGGTTAGAGTGCTGGCCTGAGTCCCTGGGAGAGCTGGGTTCCAGTCCCCACTCAGCCATGAAGCTCACTGGGTAACTTTGGGCCAGTCGCCACTCCTCAGCTTCACCGACATCACAGGGTGGTTGAGACGGTGGAGTGGAGTGGAGTGGAGTGGAGTGGAGTGGAGTGGAGGGCTATGTAGGCTGCCTTGAGTTCCGTGCAAGGGGAAAAGGGCAGGATATAAATGCAAAACAGTGACGATGCTGAGTGAGGCCTCAGTCTGTCTAGCCCACCGTGGTCAACACAGACTGGCAGCAGCTCTCCAAGCTTCCAGGCAGGAGTTTTTCCAGCCCTCTCTGGACATGCAACAGATCAAACATAGGCCCGTCATGCACAGCTGGTGCCAAGAGGCATATAACCAATGTGTTGCTTCATCGTTTCTGAAGCCCTCGCCACACAGCCTTCATGGCGGGGGTAAGTGGTTTTCCAGAAGTGAGAGGCCACCCAATGCTGGGCGGTTAGAAGAACCCCAGGCCAGCTACACTGGCCCACTGGGCTAGGATGCAGTGCCCCTGGCTCCAGGAGCAGTGGCAGCACACAGCTAGATGCCCCATCCCGTACACAGAATGCTAGCAGGGCGTTCCCCAACCCAGCAGTCCTCAGGGATGCTGGACTGCAGCTTCCATCATCCCCAGCCAGCAGGGCCAAGGGTCACACCTGCTAGGCATGATAGGGCGGCAGCCCTGCGTAGAGGGCTGCCCCACTTCCCCCTGCTTGTGGGCATCCCACCAAGACCTGCGTGGGGGTCATCAGAAGGGCCTGCTGGGCTAGAGGAAACGGGCTGCTCCAGCGGCAGCGCGGCATTCCTAGCAGGACTCCTGGGGAAGGTTGCTCGGTGGCGACTAAAAAGTGCCTGGCCCAGTCTCTACAAAAAACACGACACAGAGCTGCTGCAGTTCATTGTAATGAGATTCCGACGGCTACATGTCGATTCAGTCTGCCTGGGCAGCTCCTCTGCAGGTGCGGGAACCTCCCCCTTCAGGGGGGAAAGCGGTCTTCTACGGTGGGGGCAGTGCCCGGGGCCCTGCCAGCCCCCTCTTAGCCACGTCTTCAGGATGGGATCATACCTTTACTGCGCTTCTTGTCGGCCATGGTGCGCCGGTTGTGATTGGCCCTGGCCCCTTTGTTGGCTTCCTTCTTCCTGCGCTCCTGGACTGTCTCTCGGTTCTGGCCGTGGCCTTTCGCACTGCCCACAACAGTGGCAGAGTTGTCCGGCTTATGTCTGCAGCGGGTAAGAGGAGAAAATCTCCCGTTTGCCTCCTTCCCTCACACAGTTTTTTTCCCCCAAGGACAGATCTAATAGAGACCAAATTGGGTCACCAGTAACAGTGAGACATAGAATGATCAGAGAAGCAGGGACAATTTACTGGCAGAGAGTGCAAGCAGAATGTGATCATTACTGTGTGTTCTTATTTTGTGCTGCTGCTTCATTGCATTTTTTAAAAGTAGCACAGAACCAAAATGAGTATAAAGACTGGGCCCCTTTACTAACAGAGTATTGGAGTTTAAAGAATAGCATTTTTAAGCAAACCTCATTCATAATTCCTGGGCTGAAATGCAAGCCGAAACACGGGGGGCCTGGATGGCATGCTTTCCAAAGTTTGCAATGCAGCTCTTGGCTCAAAAATTGCATACAAGATGTATACATTAGGGAAAGCTGCATACAAATTATGTAAAGCTGGGTACTCATATTGCTTATCATGGAATGCTATATACAAAATGCATTGACTAGAGACACAACGGAAATCCTGATTCCTAGCAGTCGGTTTTCTCATGTACCAAGCAGTGCAGCTGCCTTCTGATTCTGGCCGTGCAGCAGCGCAAACACTGAGTGGGCATCACACTTACCCTTTTCTCGCGAGGAAGGCCATCCGTCTAGCCTCAGCCCTCTCCCTCAGCACCGCTGGGTCTTGCACAAAGTGGTCCTGCCACGGAAAGGAGAAAATGTTTGCTATCGACCCCACAGCCCACATCCACTAGCTGGAAAAGCAGCAGCTGCAGGAGGCTCGTTTGCTCCAGCTCACCAGAAAAAAATCGGTTGAGCTGGCAGGGGCCCCAATCCAATGTGGGCGTCCAAATGCAAGCAGCCCTAGCAGAGACGCCTTAGCAGGTCAGCTGCATCCTGAACGCCTCCACTGTGGGACAGCCCCCAACCTCCCTAGGTCGCACTGGACTAGCAGGAAGCTTCTTCCTGATGTTCAGCCAGAACCTGGCTTCCAGTGATTGGGCCTGCTATCCTTCATCTTTCACTCTGGGATGACTGAGAAGAAACCCCAGCCCGGCTCTCTACAACCTCCTTTCAGTCCTTGAGGAGTACTTTCCCTCTCCCCTCAGGCTTCTCTTCTCAGGGTGAAACATGCCCAGTTCTTTCCATCTCTCTCGACTGGGTTTTGTTCCCAGTCTGCTGCCCAACTTTGCTGCCATCCTCGGAACCTCTTCCAGTTTGCCTGCAGCATCCTTCAGCTATGGTGCCCAAAATGGATACGGCACTCGAGAAGAAGCCGGACCAGTGCGGAGGGGATGGGAACTGATGCGTGATTGAGAAGTGACAGTTCCACTGATGCAGCCAAGCCACGCTGCTCGCTCATGTCCAGCTTGGGAAGCACACCACTTCCGACATCCTCCTCACAGTATTGCTGAGCCAAGGATCCCCACCAGACCCCGCACTGCAAGCTGCCCGATGCGGTCCACGCAAGGCGCTGCCCCAGGCGAGTCCGACTTCCTGCATGCCTGCCCAGTGTCCTCCTCAGCTGCTGCCTGGAGCAGGCGCGGCCACTTCAGACACGCAAAGCCCATCCATGCCACGCCCAATGGTCTGCATGCACCCAGTCTCGCTCGACTGGCAGGACAGGAGCCTTTTAGGGGAAACACCAGGGACCGAACTTGAGGCCTCCCCTTTCCTATGGAATCCGAGGTTTATTATGGGTTAGACCCAGTTTTATGTGGGATCATCTAAGTTTGCTTCCCAAGGCACACCCTCCAGCAGCCTGAATATGCCACACAGAAAATCAGAGGTAGCCTCTGGGAGTGGGGGGTCAAAGCACTCAGGGGAGGGGACTTCCCCTCACAGGAAGCAGATCCTGGAGTCAACCCCCGAGTGCAAATCCAGCAAGTGCTCATGCCAAGGGCATCCGTGCTTTTCCTCCCTGCGACAACCAGTGCTGAATTCAGGTTTATTTGGAGGGTGAAGAGAGTTATTCACTGCCGGCCTTTCAGGAAAGAAATGGTCACAAGGAGGCTTAGCAGGAACATGAAAAGGCATCAGGGAACCTCAAAAGGAGCAGTATTAGGACCCACATCAGGCCCCTTAGTGACAGAAGGCCTGCTAGGCAGAAGAAGGAAACAGTCCAACTGGAGCAAACGCCAAGGCCCGTCTCTACCCCTTAGGCAACATGTTCTTGGTGCTCCCCTTCCCCCAAGGGGTCCAGCTCCTCCTCCTCCTCTGTGCTGCCATCGCCACTGCCCAGGCGCTGGCCCCTTCCCACTGGGCCCAACGTGCAGCAGCCAAGGGAGAGGATGAGGCAAAGGCAGGCAGCAGCAGCTGCTCCCCACCGTCTCACCTGCCACATGCTCAGAAAGGACGGGTGAACAGGCAGCAACAGCCTCTTTGATGCATCAGGCCTCCACAGGTGCCCAGTAAGGCCAACCCATGGTGCCGTGCCTGGCCTGGCCACCTCCCAGCTCAGGAGCAACACACTTTAGGGTACAGGAGCTGCCAGGGCCATTGACCAGCTGCTGAAAAATTCCTGTAAGAGGGACAGGAAATGGCTGATAAAATGGCTTTCAGCAGTGTGGGAGATGATGGTTATTATGGATGAATTAATAACCATTGTTAAAACCAGATGGGGAAGAAATTAGGAGAGCAACCGGTTTTTATAGAGGATTGGCAAACATTTACACAGTAATGGAAGGTAAACCATGGGAGCCATTCTTCAGGGTATAAATGGAATGGATCTTTCACATTTTATCTCTGGCTGCACAGAAGAGAGTTAATACACACTTTTGATGAGGAGAGGCTTACTGTTTTAACACTCATGTGAGGTCTTATGCAATGGTGTTTTAACTCTTTTTAAAACCTGTCAGTTACTGCTTCCCCATTCAGTGCCGTCCTGTGTTGGACTACAACCCCATCGCATCCCTGCCAGAAGCCCCCCACTCCCCAGGCCAGATTAGGGAAAGTTACTTAAATGAAGATATTCTTAACTTGTGTGGTGCCAGCTCAACCCCACCCCCGCCAATTTGGCCCTGTTTCATCTGCACGGTTAGGAATCTCTCTCCCCTGCTCCAGCGCAGAGAGTTGTCAGCCCACCAGGACTCGGAAGCTCCCTCAGTGGCCTCCAGCGCTGCCGTCTCACCCCCTGGACCGGGGAGCAAGCAGCCCGGGAGCACGTTCTCCAAGAGGACACTCTCTCCTGACTGCCTCCAGGGACAGAAGCGCAGGAACCCCAAGGGAGCGAACAGCTCAGAAAAGTCACAGCATCTTGGAACAAACCAGGGCAGTGCGACAGGACACCCCAGCCTTGCAGCTGGCTCCTTCCCACATGCCCAGGAAGCATCCCCTGCACCCCACTGTGTCCGGCTAGCGGCTGCTCTCCAGGAGGCGCAGTGGCTCAGTCCAGTGCATTCACGCCGCTGCTCTCTGGCAAGCGGAAGGCAGGGCTGCCATGGGGGTAGCTTTGTGGACGAAGGCGAGGAGGGCCACTTTTCTAATGCTGCACACAGGAGCCTGGAAGGGAACAGCTCCCCACAAGGAAGGGGCTCTCAGCGACACTGTGCTGGGGTCCCCCGGCAGTCCTGGCTGCTCCTGTCCATCCTTTCCGTTCCATTCCTCGCTATGCCTTGCTGCATCCCCGTCTTTTCATCTCCTTCAAAACTGAGCCTGAGTACCTGTAACGGAGTACCTTCCCTTCCCTTCCCTTCCCTTCCCTTCCCTTCCCTTCCCTTCCCTTCCCCCTTGCCTCTGCTGTTTCCCTTCCTTCCCTCCCTCCCTCCATTCCCTTCCCTGGGCTGCACTTGAGATTGTGGACTCCTTGAGGGCAAGAGGTGCTGCCTTCTCACTGCTCTGAGAAGCATCATGCCTACTGCTGCCACTCGGTAGTCATGAACGGAAGAGCTGGGCTTCCTCCCAGCTGTGGAGACGGCAAAGGCCTCCACAGACTGTTTTCTGGCAGGGTTGTTCTCTGTAAGCACAGGGTCACCTCCGTCCTGCCCCCTGAATTGGACACTGCCCTGAGGCACACTCACCTTTGCAGCCTCCTTCTCATCCTCCTCCTCCTCCTCCTCATCTTCTTCCTGCTGCTCTTTTGGTCTCAGGACCTGAGGGATTGTAAAAGGCCTACAGGGGTGCAAGAGAAGGGTACCGTAAAAGTACAGCCCACAGGCCACAACGCTGGTTAAGACAGCCTTGTCTGAGAACATGCTTTAAGGAGCCGAGGAGGTCCTCAGTTTGCACAGACGAAGACATTAAGCCCTGGTGCAGGGAGGAATAGCCAGCAGACTGCAGACTCAACTTTTCCTGACCTCTCTGACGCCAGCTGGAAGAGAGAAGAACAGGTCCAGGGCATTCCACACGCAGCAGCATTTCACTGGGTGAGGAAGGCGTTCTGCCTATGGGTTCAGGCTGGGAGTGGGCAGCCCATAGGCCACATGCCAGAGAATCCTCCGTCTGGACCTCTCAAAGTTACCCAGCCCTGGATTAGATCCAAATGTTGCATGAGTGGAAGCCCACTTATTCAAGTATCGTTTGCTTTCTCCTTCTGCAGCTCCCTGTACTGTGCTCCCAAAATGCTCTCCATAGGGGCAGAAGTGGCGTATAAGGCCATCGAGTCCCACCCCCCGTCCCGCTTCCACATGTAGTCACCCATCCAGCTGTAAGCACATGCCTTTCCAGCTTAGCGGAGGTGACGTGACATGTGAGCTCTATGTGCCCCCATGCAGGCTGGCCTGTGGGGTTTTGCTGTTCAGAGGGAGGGACGATTTCCCCCAGATCAGGCCTAGCACCATGCAGAAAGACCAGATGTGCATGTGTAGGGGGAGAAGAATGAAAGGGGCTGGAATGATCCTTCCACAAGTGGCCTTCCACCCACGCAACCTTTGGATCTAACCGGCAGGTTTTGTGAAGGGCTGAATGATGTGGAATAATGCAAAAATAAGAAAGTAATTATTGCTGCAGCTTCTACCATCTTGCATTCTTCAAGGCTATCTGAAGAAAACCAAACTGTCACCAAGAGCAAGCTTAATGACTAATTCAGCAACCTGCACAGACAAAGCAGGTTGGTGGGATTACATTCACTCCATTATTAGCTGTCCACGTGATCCTACAGGACCCATCTGCAGAGGAGGCTGCCTACCACGCCTCTGGGTGAGTCACTGTGCTGGGCCTGCCTCCGTCCAAGCAACTGGCCAGCTGATGCACCAGGTCATCCTGCAGCATCCCTGCACTGGGTGCAATCCAGTACATTAATTCATCTCCAGCTACGGAGATGCAGCAGAATTACCGGGCCTTAGTGGAGGTGGCCCCCTCTGCATTTCTCAGTGACGCATCCAAAAACCTGTGAGAGAACACACCTTACAAGTCCTACTGCAACGCAGTCAAAAATCAAACTGCTTTGGTGTAAGGGGGAAGTGGGCCTCCCGTTTTATTCAGAGTAAGTGTTCCACAGCTACCAGAAGTTTGGAAAACACCAGCCAGTGGGTGGACGACAGGAAACAGCTTTTTTCAGAGGACCAAGTTCGTTTTGAAGAAGTTCTCGGGCTGCATCCAGAGGTGGAGGTGGCAAACGGAATGAGCCCCCAAATCCTGAACACCTCTGCCCTGTGCTGGAAGCTCTTACAGCCAGGAACTAAGTGTTAGGAGAGGCGTTGCAACCTTTTCTCAAAAAGTAAGAACAATGTAAACCCAGTGAGAGAACCGTCATATCCCAATGACTGGGCAAAGAGGTGGGGGTGGAGTGCAGTGGAGCCCCCCTCCCCCCCACCCCAACTCAGGCTGATCCCAGGGGAAATGGTGGACAGGTACTGGAGGAAAGATGGCCACCCTAGGCCTTGCTCCACAAGCTAGGGACAAGTGAAAGCCCTTGCTAAGGAGTAAGTCATGCTTAGGAAACGTATTGGACTTTGTGTGCATTACCTTTTTAAAGATCTTGTGTTAAGAATACAGCCATTCCCCCCACCGCACCCCAACACCTTCGTGGAAGCAAGGAAGCCATGAAAGAGCGATGGGCAGAAGGCTCTGTGCCTGAGCCTGCAGCCCTCTGCATGGAGTCCTCTGAGGACCACCTCGTCCTCCCCCACCCCAAGCCCCTCGTGGTTCCAGTTCAGCCAGTTTCATCAGACCTCCTGTGACCAGTGCTCCTTGGGTCAGAGTCCAGGGGTCACTTTCCACCCCACCAGACCCTCATGTGCTGCAGCGGTGGCGAAGAGCTGGCGGTTTGGTGCCAAATTTCAGCAGCAAACCGCCAAGGAGGTGACTGCGTAGTGCTCGGCCAGTGCAGACTGGCAGCAGGCCACAGTTTGGGGGTGCCGCACCAGGAGCGAACCGTGCCAGAAGCCAGGGGGCCGCATGAGGGGACAGACGGCGCTCAATCCTGCTTTAAAGAAAAGAACTCCTTAGAGCAGAGCCATCTGCTGACTATTAGCCATTCACTAAAGACCCGAACGATGCACTCAATGAAGCTGCGGAAGTTGACTGCAGAAAGGTGCACCTGGTTGCTGCGAATGGGGGAGGCGGGACCGCACAAGCTCCGAGCACAAGTTACGGCCGAGGGCCCATACATGGGGGTCGGAACTCACCTCCTGCTGATCAGCTCGTCATCTGAGTCGACGTCGTTGGCGCCCACCTGGTTGCCGTCATAGGTGTCGTCGTACTCGTCGTCGTAATCCCGGCCAAAAGGGCCCACCCCACTCTGCTCGGGAAGCTCCTCCACGATCACAGAGTACTGGCTGTAGCGCTCCCTCTGCTCAGTCACAACACGCTTGTCATTGAGCAAGCTTTTGGTGGTGACTCTCTCGCTCCTGCACTCAGGAAAGAAAAAGGGAAAACTAAATAATGGGCATCATTTGATGTTTTAAAATTGGTTTTACAGGTCTCTTGCATGGTGAGCTGCATCAGTGGACGATGGGAGCTTCGTGGTCTATGCAGTGGCACCCGTTGTAATAGGCACTCAAGCTACAGCGTGAGGGATGAAAGGAGCAGGGGAGGCAGGCAGAAAACAGGACTCCAGGCCAAGAGGGGAATCCAAATCCCAAACTTTTGCTCACCCCATGCTACAGTTTTCTAGGTTTTCCACCCAGCCAGCAGCTTAGCCTGGCTATACATGCTTCCGGCTCATGCTTTGGAATTGGCTCGGGAAGCTTCTGATTTCCGATCTTGCCCCCTTCTTGCACTTTCCCACCTGGCAGCCACCGCTGCTCCCTGTGGGCTGACCCTTTGGCTTTGCACAAATGAGTTTATGGACTGGCCTTTCTTCAGAAGATGGAGAGCCTGCCTGGCGATACAGGACAGGCCCCCAACCCTTCAGAAACTCGGTCCAAAGCATCCTTGGCTGCTTGCAGCCCAGCACGACGAGGACCTACTGCTCTCCATCAGTGCCAAGTCCCCTGTGCTCCCCTGAGGCTTACATCCCTGAACTTCTTGCAAAGCTCTGTGGAAACCGGTTTTAATAATGACCCAGCCAGCCACAGCCCTCTGCCAGGAAGATCCCTGCAGTTCCACGCAGAGGAGTGTCCCCTCAACCCACGGGTGGAAGGTCATGTCCAGAGGAGTGGGTGCAATGAAGGAGCCAGTGTCCTTGAGACAGCCCCGCTTCAGCCCCACGAGAGCCTTCCTGGGGAGCCAGAGGGGCTCAGTCCAGACCTCTGCCCTGGGCTGCCCTTGCATGAAGCACCCACGCAGTACAGGCAAGGTGGAGGATTAACGTGAGCATCCCAGCCGCTTGGTTAATCACGGTTACTCTTCCCCGCACCACCTGGATCTGGCAATGTCATTAACTTTGCAGGCCCTCAGTGATGCCCAGTCTCACTGACCTGTGGCTGAAGAGGCCAGAGGTAGGCAGGGGCATGGGCATTTGGAGAATCCCAAAGGGTCAGATTAAGAACCCAAGAAAGCTGCGCTTAACCCACAGGCCCAAGGGGGTGTTGGATCTCACCTGAATGCCTTTGAAACGGTACAAGATCTTTGCCTGCAAAAATGGCTTTGTGACCCTTACACGCACCGACGACAGGCAAGCTGGGTGGCCTGTCCAGCATTCAGAGGACTCACCTCTTGCCTTTCTGCACACGGGACAGATCCACAGAGTCCTTGCTGAAAACATCAAACTCATCGTTCTGGAAAACATTGTATCGTGAGGTGACCAGAGGGGTTGGGTCCGTTTTCACTGGCCTGGCAGGAAAAAAAGTGAAAAACTCAGGGGAACTCAGCACTTTCTCTGAAGCCCTGAGAAACGTGAAACACCCCGTGAAACAAAATGGGAGCCTGCCCCACTCCTGCACCCACTTCCCCGGAATTACACTGCAAGGAACTCATCAGTGGACATGACCCAGGGCTATCATTCCTAGGCAGATGCTCGCCAGGGCAGAACCCCTGCTCTGATTCTGCATACCCATCGTCAGTGTGCTGTCTCCTGCCATCCCAATCCACTCAGATGAGCCTCGACAAGAAGAACCGTGCTGCCTCAGCCCAAAGGCTGGTCTAGGCCATCAGAGCCCCCCCCAGCCCCGGGAGCCACAAGCAGGACCTGAGAGCAGCAAAGTCCTCCTGCCTGCACTGCCCACCAGCAGCGCTCGTCAGAAGCACTGCCGCTGCCCAACTGAAGTACAGCTGCAGGTGTTGCCTGTAGCGGCCAAACAAGGTGCTCAGAGCTCTACCTGGGCATTGCTCGGTCCAGCTTCCCCAAGGATGCTACCAGCTTGTCCTCCAGAAGGTTGTTGATCACCTGCTCAACACTGTAGTCATACTCCTCCAGGCAGGCCAAGATGAAGCCTTCTCCAAGGTCAGGCAGCAGGTCCTTTACTTGGGAGATCAGGGAGTCCAGCTCCACCCCAGAGACCTTGGCTACTGGGGCCGCAGCTGCTCCGGCATGCTAGACAATAGAAGCACAACAGGGAGGATCACCAAGATGGAGGAAGCAGGAGGTGCCAAGCCAGGCAGGACAGCAAGTGGGGGAACACTGGTTTTTACGGCAAGCACATGGGACCAAATGCAGCCGCTCTGCCCATTGCAGGCTCCTCCACGGAGCCAAATTGGGAAGGCAGGGCATGTGTGTGGGGGGGGGGGGGGGCTTGCAGGTGCTGCCCTGCTAACCGCTCTCATGCGCTGACCCCTGTCCCTGATCAGGTTCTCTCAGGAGAGGAGAAGGAAGTCCTGAATCTTCACAGATCGGGTCTTTGGCAGAGAAGCACTCGGGCCAAAACATCCTGCTAAGGGCAAGGCAAAATCATAACCTGCAGCTGCAAGACAAGGCCAATGCCTGAGGGGCAGTGCAGACAGGTGAGGCAGGTGCGCGAGAAGCAGGTGGGCAGGCAGGTGAGACCAAGAGAAAGGCACGCAGGGAGTGAAGTGGGAATTGAGGGGTGCAAGGCAAGGAGCACAACTTGCACACTGCGCCCCAAAGACTGGGGTGGGCAACCCTTTTTGGCAGAGGGCACTCTCTTCAAATTGACGAGCTTTCAGATTGTGCGGTACCAACTGAGCACTACCACAAAATGGCTACCAGGGCTGCATGAAAAAGGGCCAACAAGCTGGCTAAGAGCCCAAGTGCAAAGCAGAGGAGAGGCCCAACAGATTAGGTGGTTCTTCGGAGCTTAAAGCTCTCGGCACCAATAAAAACTATTTCAGAGAAACCAGAGCTGCTGGTGAGAAACCAAGTTTGGTTTTTACTGGGGGTGGCTCCCTGCCAGCCACCAAGGAAGACACCCGTCCTCTGCCATAGATGTTTCCTGGTGCATGGCGAAGGCTAGCACAAAGTTAGTGCAGAGAGGCTTCCCCAACCTGGAGACTTCAACTCCTATAAGCCCCGGCCAGCCACAGATCAGAGATAAGGGGAAATGTTTTCTAAAACATCTGGAGGGTCCCAGGGTGAGAAAGGCTGATGCAAGGAAAGGGAAAGGACTCAACTGCAGCACAGCAGCAAAGGGCTCTGCGGGAAGAGGTTCCGCCCGGCTGCTGGAAGGGCTGAGGCTGTGGTGGGGCATTTGCCTCAGCCAGTCATTTGGAACAGGGTGACACCCCCCTTCCACCTGTGAAAATCGGGCTGCCTGTGGCAGCCCCACGTTCCCCTCTGAGCAGCACAGGAGCAAGGCCTGCCTCTGAGGCTGGCACAGGGAGTTCAGGGCACAAACACCCACCTCGCAAGGATCCCGCAGGCTGAGCCCCTCCAAGTCCTCGGCACTGCTGGGTGGCACCGCTGCAGAGCCTCCAGCTGCAGCTTCTGGCAGGGGGCTGCCTGGAGCCCCTTTCCTCCTCCTCTCCGCTCCCTCCCAGGCACTCTCCACGGCTTCCAGGATGTACGTTGACCGGGTCTCATCCCTACCCACTGGCGTTAAGGGCATTCGTTCTGATTCATGCGCCCAAAGAGCAGCCATGGCACTGCTGCAAAGGCCCGCATTCGCTATTTAGGTGGACCCACCTGCTGCCTATCCCACCCCTTTCCTTGCAAGGAACCCTGGGCACCCCAGGAAAATATTCCTCTTCTCCATGTAATCCTCACAACAACCCTGTAAGGTAGTTTCTGTGACAGGATCCAAGTCATCTGTGAGCTTCTTGGCTGGGTGGAGACTAGGACCTGGATCCCCGCCAGTCCCAGGCCAGTGCTCCCACCACTCTGCCCCCCCGGCTGTTGACGCTTCTGCAGCGAAGGGAGCAGAAGCGGCTCGCTGTGCATCTTCCTCACTGGCTTGCAGACACCTGCTAATGATAAAGGGGAGAGACTAACCGCAGAGGCCTCCCTTCCTGCCTCCACCTGAAAGTCACCCTCGAAGCAGCAAAATGTAACACAAGGAGGGTGATCAGGTGAGCCGCCCCAGCCCTGCTTCTCTACGAGTCCTTTTTGCTCAGTATTTGTCAGAACCCGAGTGGCTTCATGTGTTTGGAAACAAGTGGTGCTGATTCAGCTGCATGTGGACTGGGCTGGGACCCCTTCACTAAGAGCTGAAGGTGCAGGTCAGGCACTGGAAGTGGCAGGGAGAGGAGCTTATCCTCCCTCGACCACGCCTCTCTAGCTTTGCTCCAATTAAACAGTTGCTGGTGCAGAGGAAAAGCCAAGGTACAAAGTGGTGGGAGGGGCTTGCTGTCGGATGTGGGTGGGGCCAGCTCTGCCACAGCCCCGCACCTGGCCGGCCAGCCTGCCCGCCCAGCAACGTTTTGGAGGATGTGGCCCGCTGGGTGGGTAGGGGATGCTAAGTGCAAAGGATACAAGGCTGAGGAGGCTTGCTGCAGGAGGCTCACATCCTCTGCTACGGGAAAAAGCTCATCGTAGTCACGGAGGAACCTGTGGGTAGAAGACCGTGATCTGAAACAGGGCCTTCCTGTAACTAAATGACTGAGTTAGAATCACACACTGCAAACCACGAAAATTTTGCATAACACAGACTGTGGGACCCCCCAGAATAGTTCAAAGGAGTTTAAAAGGAAAGAAAGCAGCAAATTTTGGCACTGCATGCCAGCCCTGTGTCCTGTCACCCGTGTCCCAAGTCCATACTTTTGGACTTCCATGACCATACACCGCCCCCTTCCTGTCGTCTCCGCACTTGGCACTCCCAACTGCAATCCCCTTTGGGAGGCAGCGAAGGACGCAGCCCTGTGAGTGTGCACATGAGAGAGAGAGCACTGTGAGGGCCCCCCGATGGCCGATTTTGATAAGCCTGTTGAAGAGGGCAGTGCTCTCCTGCAAGCAGCAACTGGCTCTTCTCTACTGCCCTGGGCGGCCACGAAGCAGTAGCCCTTTAGTGAATGGGCACAGTAGAAGAGTTCTGTGGCACCTGAAACACTGACACATTAAACGCTGGCATAAGCTCTCCGGCATGCTTTCCATTCCATCAGATGCGGCAGATCAAGTGGGGAGTGTCTGCAAAAGCTTGTGCCAGAAGAGATATGTTAGTTTTAAGAGGGGGCACAGAACACCTTTCAGCCCATGGGTCAAATTTCATTTTGGGGATGCTCTTGGTGAGCACATAGCGATGGTGGATGGTGTTGAAATGATGGCAGGGTCAAGACCCCAAATGCCACCATATTGTAGCTTAAAGCTCTTCCTGCCAGTGTCTCTTAAAAGAAGAGTTTTAGAATCCACTTTTTAGAATGAAGAAAAAACTGAACAAATGCTGGGAAATCATCAGATGGAATCACATGAAAGGGGTGTGACCATCGAGGGGTTCCTGCAGCATCAGACTGGGAACCACAAGCCTGAAGTTTGGCACCCTCGCTTTTAGGGGCCACAAGACCCTTCCTTGTCTTTGCTGCAACAGATGAAGAGTGTTCTCCCCTGGAAATGGTTACTGAATGAATACATTCCTAACAGCTTTTCACAGGTTAGCAAGGCTCTCCCACACCTCACTGGAACTCTCACCTCTTCTCCTGAAGTACCGACGTGAAGATCTGCAGGAAGTCTTCGATGTAAGGATGAATATTATCACAGCTGTAACAAGAAGCGAGTGAGCAAACAAGGTGGCAGCAACGGCATCTGTACAGGCTGATATCGACGTTGCTGGATGGGTAACAGGCCACCTGTGACCCCAGCCTGGCATTCAGCCACTCAAAGCTGCCCACATTTGGGCCAACATCCCTTCCCGCTAACAAATCCCTCTCCTCCGAGGGACTTCCTGATTTGGTGCCTCTATTTCCTGAGAAGGAGAAGTGGAAGCATACCATTGTCTGAAAGCATTTATCCGCGCCAGATCACAGTTCAGCTGAAAGGAGACCGGAAAGATCTAGGAAAAACAGCCTTTCCCAGAACCTGCACTGCAGACTATGTGCCCTACAACTTATCGCGTAACTAAAATGGAGTGGAAATGTGGCTTAGCTTAAGTCAGAGGCAGGATTCGGGCTGACTGAATTTAATCCTCCTTTTTGTGAACGAACACATGACTATTCTTTCAAGCTTTTTTTTAAACTAAGGATTATATATTTGAAGAAGGGGATTCCTTAGGGTTTTCCCTGCTGCACAGATGGTGTTATATTTTGTTTAAAAACATTTAAATACCATCTTATTTAAAAACAATTTATACAGCTTTTCATGAAATTCAGATTTCAGGGCAACAAACAACAAAAGAATAACATCAGTAAAATAATAATATAATAATATGAAATAAACATGGAATTATTGCATATATCCTTGACTAGAACACCTTGATGTAGTATATGCAAGCTTTATGAAGGAGGAATTTGGTCAGGGTGGGGAGCTTGTAACTTTTTAGTTTGATTCTAAGTTCAAGTTATTCTTCTGCTATAGCAATCAATTTCCATTCATAAATACAAATGCAGCAAAAAAGACTTATAAACATGTTCAAACGCCTATCAATTAAACAGCCCAAATGTATACCAGATAAACAAGAGAGACAGAGAGAAAAACTGAATGGAGAGAGAGGTTTGCATGCACGTGCAAGAGAGGGCACTGGCCCCACCCACTGTGGGTACGAAACAGATTTTCCTAGACCAAATGCAGCCCTTGAGGGGAAAAGGTCCCCTGCCATACCTGCTCTCCAAAATGGGTTGAAGGCACAACTGGCTTATAATTATATGGAACATTTCCACCATCTTCTTTCTAGAATGAGACAGCCTCCTCCATAAATCAGACAGCAAACTAAGTGGGGGAGAGGAAAAGAGAATCCGTGTGATGAGGACGTTGGGCTACTGAGACTCGGGTTCGGTTCCTCCCTTGGCCATGAGGCTCCCTGCACGACTTTGGCCCAGACACTGACTCTCAGCCTGACCTCCCTCACAGGGTTGTTGTGGAAATGAAACAGGGAGGGAGAGGAGGTCCATGTAAGCCATGTTGCATTTCTTATGAGAAGCAAAAAGAGAAGGTATAAATGCAATAATAAAGAAATCCAAGCTGCTCAAACCATTTAGCTTTACTGCTTACATACTACTCTCTCCATCCTTGAACCCTCTGTTTATAGCATGCTGCTGCTGCATGTGAAGTGATACTGTGTTCAGCGGTAGATCCAAAGCTCTAATCCTGAGCTCACAGGAGGGGTCTCAGCTCTGAGCTACAGCAGATGCTTTGCCACAGGCACCTACTGGCCAACCCCAGTAACACCACTGACCAATCAGGCCCCCACCATCCTGAACACTCTCCAACGATCCTGCAGAATGTTTACAGATCCCTTTGAGAGAAATGGAGAATATGGAGCCAGCTGTGGTGTGATGTCGGACTTAGCCAAGGACACCTGGATTCAAATCCCCACTTGACTGTGAAGCTCAATAGGTGATGCTGTCCAGTCACACTCTCACAACTTTTTTTTTTTTTTTTGCTAGTTGCGAAGTCGTGTCCGACCCATCGCGACCCCATGGACAACGCTCCTCTAGGCCTTCCTGTCCTCCACCACCCCCACCGACGGCTTCAGTGACTCCATCCATCCAGCCACCTCATCCTCTGCCGCCCCCTTCTCCTTTTGCCATCGTTTTGAGGATAAAAAAGGCTCTCTGTGCATATCTATGTGATGAATAAATGCTGGACTGAAGAGATGCCAAGCACAAGTGAGATCAATGCCTCGGCAGATACATTAACAGGGCACACGGCTAGTGGGATCATTGCCTTTGTTGAGGGAGGCAAGGCCACCACTGCAGAAACATACCTGCTGTCCTCGTGCCGCCTCTTCTTAATCACAGATTCCAGTTCAGGTATCACCAGCTCGTAAAATGCCGCCAGCCTACAAGCAGATGCAAGAAACCTAATGGTGAATCAGCTTTTGCCAAAAGTCACATCAATGAAATGGGGAAGGAGCGACAGAAAACTCCAAGGCTAATAATAAGCTCCAGAAGAAGGCGTGCAGGAAGCACAGATAAACCATGTCCTTGGTAGGCAAACAGCCCCAAGGTTCTAAGTCTGGCACCCCAAGTTTAGGACAGCTGTAGGGGCAGGGAAGACCCGTCTACTGTGTCTCTGAGCCTCCCGCAGTCCTTCCCAAGCTAAGGTCCTCAGAGCTTCCATCATCCCTGAGCACTGGCCCTGCTCAACGACTGCAAATGTGGTCCAACCTGCTAGGCTAGGAAGGACCACTATAGTCCTGGGATGAGTAGAAAACTCCCCAGATGCTTTAGACTTCAGCTCCCGGCATTTTGGGCCACTGGCCATGCTGGGGAAGACTTCTGGGAGCTGAAGCCCCAAAGCTCTGGAGTTCTATTTTAAGACCGCCCCAAAATAGGGTGACAGTGGCCTGCTTGGGAAGTTATGGGTGGCCACAGTACATATGGACCCTTTACGTGAGATCAAGGCTTTGCCCAGAGATGTTGGTGCAAGGATCCCTTCCCAGAAGTCGGCCATTTAGGCGTCTCCAGCTCAGCCACCCTTGAGAACAGCCGGGCGCCACTGCCTGAGATGTCTGCCTCACCCAGCCTCACGAAAGGCGCATCTTCAGCCACTGCATGCAAATAGCCCAAGAAGCCACAGCCTGGCTGTCTCCTAGGACATGTGCTTTTCCAGCAGCATTAAAAGGCACACGGGGGCATTTGAAAATGTACCTGTAACAGAAGTCGTGTTTCTGGAATGTCTGGCACGCCAATGGAAAGACATCCAGGAAGGCCCAAAGGGTGATACAGGTGTCACACAGGTACAGTACAATATCCTTCAGCTCCTAGGAGAGGGGAAACAAACAAAATCCGCTTCTTTAAATCCTAAAATTAAATGACCTCTCAACGAGAGGTTGTTGAGGCCCCATCGGTGCGGGTGTTCAAGGATAGGCTGGACATGCACATGGTGGGCATGTCATGAGCGGAACCGGCTGGAGCCGGAGGTCAGTCTAGATGGCCCAGGAGACCCCTTCTGACTCGCTCTGTTTCTATGTTTCTAAAATGTTGTGGCACAACTTTTCTTTTTGAATACAAACTGACAACAGGCCCCTCTTCCGTGCTCCTCTCCCTTTCCCTCCACTGTCTTAGCAGAGCTGGCAAAACATCGTGGATAAGAGCATCTGCCAGGTCTCTTTTAAGCAGGGAGAGGCAGTCCACCAAATTAGGCTACTGGTCCATCTGGCTCAGTACTGGCAGCACCAACTGGCAGCAACTCTCCAAGTTTTATGACAGGATTCAACCCAAAACCTTCAGCATGTAAGGAGGTGCTCCCTACCACAGAAGTACCGTTTCTTTCACCCAGGCAGAAACTGAGCAGATTGCCAGAGAAGAGAAGCCGCTTCCTCCACACCCAGCATGGCAATGCAACCATCTGTCCCACCTTTGCCAACCCCAGGCAGGCTGATCAACATTTTCTGAAGGTGCCTCTTGCTTACATGGCTGCCTTCCTAATTGTGGCAGCAGTAGGACGACGCAACGTTTGGATTTCCTGCCCCAGGCGCCTGAGTGTCACTGGCCAGCTTTGGTCTGGGTGCTCCAGGCAAAGGTGAGATCTCACTCAAAAAGGGAGGGTGCCTGTCATAGAGACAGACAGAGCTCTAACAGCCAAAGCTCTCTGGCAGTATCTTTTAATTTACAAAGATTAAAACTGTAAGAATCTATTTCATTTATATATAAACAGACAGCCCGCACTAAGATAACCCGTGTATCTAAAACAACTTTAAACAACCAACAATAAAAAGAATCCTGCTCGCTCTATGAAAATGTCCTGCAAAGAAGGGGAGTGCAGAAGACAGATTCAACTCAACTGCCAGCATTCTGGCGATTTCCAGCAAATCAGCAAGGGTTTCTGTCTCTCAACAGCAGCAAGAAATGAAATTATGCTCCCTACCCCCAAAATACACACACTCCCCTAAATTAGGCTCCTGAAATCCTGTAATCAAGAGATCCTGGGGGAAAGAAAAAAATGTGAAAAAAAATTGTACGTAGGCTCCAGTTCTGCTACAGAAAACACATTCCTGGGCTGAGCACAAGCTCAGAAACATTTAGTTCCCCAATCAAACAGCAGCCTTCCTCAGCCAACGTTTTGCCCCTAGCTGCTGCCGAGCTCCTGGACCTCAGCAATCTTGTGAAAAACAACGCAGATCCCACAAAGCTACAGCTCACCCCCACCCCCCCCGCCTACAGGAGCCTGCCCTCCGTTGGGTCCGATCATAGCTCCACCAGCTTCTGCAGGTGGACATGAGCCAGCAGTGGCTGTGCTGGCTTTCCAGCAGGACCTTTTCCTGCCCTATCCAGAAATGCTGGGAATTTAAACGGTGACTTTTGCATGTGAAGCAGCTACTCAGCCCTCCACAAAATACACTGCTACAAATCACTGCATCAGTCGCACTAAATCACCATTTTGAGGCACTAGAACAGACACACGCGCGCACGCGCACACACACATGATTTGGTTGTCTGAAAGTGGGGAAGTGCAGCCAAACTTGCCATGGGAAAGACAACCCTCTCCCAGCCAAACCCCTTCCCCAGTCCTCAACCTTCCAAACCCCTCTGGATGCTAGAACAGAGTGACGCCTCTCCCAAAATCTACTGATTTAGTTCGTATAGGCTGGCTTTCTTCCAAGGAGCCCAAGGCATGCACAAAGCTCTTGTTCGCCATCTGATCCCCACAACAACCCTGTGAGGTGGATTAGACTGAAGGTCAATGGCTGAGTGAGCTTCATGGTTCCACGGGGACTAGAACTGGGTCTCCCGAGTCCCTGTCCCACAGAATCAGCTCTACACCACACTGGCTCGCAGTTATGCTTTCCCCTCCCCAGGTATTTTTACAAGTGAGCACATGCGCAGGCAGACTCTGCTTCTCAAAGAGCACAATGCAATCAAGCACAGTTCTGTGAGATTTTAAAAATGCACACAAAATGCTAAGGCAGCCTTTCCAAAAACAAGCAAATGAACCAAAGCATGCTGGAATTCATGTGATAAGAAAAGCTGCCTCATCCAGTCACAGGACAGGCAAGAGAAATGATTACCAGGAACTATGTGCAGGGTGAGACATACACTTTTCTGTGGGGTGGGGGTGGGGAATATGACTGTCACTGGGCTTAAAGCTGCCGCTGAGGCTGGTGGGAGGAAGGGGCTGGTCACACAGGGATACTGCAATCCATCTTCCTGAGCCCGTGTTGCCTCTGGCACCAGTCCAGCTGGTGGAACTGCAAAACCAAGCAGCAAGCCTGCCTACCCTGGTCACAGGAAGATAGGATGTTGCCCCCCCCCCCCACCCACATGCACACACCTGCAGAGGAATGTCCTCAGGACTCGTGCTGACCCTTTCCTCCAACTTCTGTGGGGTGGCTGAAGCGCTGTCACCCCGCAAGCCACACATGTGCGCGATATTGCTGAATACCTAGAAGGCAAAGGGCAGAATTTCAAATATGCTGGGTGATGGAATGCAGGCACATTCCACATTTATCAGTGGTCACTGTCTGAGCAAGAGTATCTGCTCCTCAAGTGCAGTGCAGCCTCCATGAAGACAGCAAAGGCACATGTTGCCAGCACTCTCTTCCGACACACACACAAAGATTGGTTTGGCCATCCACGCCAACTTAAACCACCCTTGATTCTACAGAAGAACCAGTGCATGGAGGTGGGTGGATATGAGGAGCAACCCGCCCGGCTGCTTTGTGCAGTTTCTGAAATAAGTGGCCAGTTCACAGGACACCCTAGACCCGGCGGGAGTTTAGTCATGCACCGTAGCTAGAATTCCCATAGGGTTCTCTTGTGCTGAGAGGCATGCGCCCCCTGCTGGTACCCCAGGAGACACTGCAGGAGTGGCGTAGGGACGGAGCCGAGGGCTGCAGAAGGCGCCAAGCAGCATTTTCAGCAGCTGTGCTCCACACCCACCCTGTGCTTCTGCCAGGGCCAGGAGTGCAGGGCTGCTCAGGATCGATCCCACTCTCCCTGCATCATGTTGCACGAGCACAGGGTAGGTACCCACTGAGCTGATGAGCGGTGTGGTGGGTGAGAGTGAGGGACTGGGACTCAGGAGATCCAGGCTCTAGCCCCCACTCAGCCGTGGAGCTCACTGGGTGACTTTGGGCCAGTCCCGGGCTCCCGGGCCATCCTACCTCACAGGGCTGTTGTTAGGGTAAGACTGAGAGGAAGAGAACTGTGTAAGCTGCCTTAAGTTCCTTGAAGGCAAAAAGGCCGGGCAGAAATCTCACACACGGATATACAGATAAGGGTGGGGGAAGACCAGCCAGGCACCGGCACGAGACGAGGTGCTCTGCGGCCGGGCAATGCGGGGAGCAATCAGCCCAGCGATTCCAGCACCGGCAGGAGAGCAGCGGGAGCCGGTGACGGCCACACAGGTAGGCGCTTGGGCCTCTGCTGGCTGCTGTCACCTAGAGCCCCCTGGGCGGAGCAACAGCCACGCTTACTGCACTTGTCTGGCGGCTCCCTACCCTCTTCATGCCACTAGGACTTGAAGTCTACCACACTACAGGCTGGTCGGGGTGGCTTACAAGGCACCCCAGGATGATTTATAACGCACTCCTCAGGAAGCAAGGGGCTGCCCCACTACATGCTAAACCCCCCCTTAGCATGTTGCGTGAACACAGCCGTTGTCTTAAACTGTGCATGTGTGTGTTTAAGTTTTAGTCCATCCTTCAAGGAGCACAGGGCCACATGCAATCCTTGCAGCAGCCCGGTGAGTCAGGCTGGGCTGAGAAACGGCGACTTGGTTCACGCGACAACCCCCACCCCGGTGTGGGGCGGCAGTGCTGGGTGCTTCTGAACTGGCCCTTAGGCCACGGATTACACAGGGACAAAGGGGTCTTCTGAAATATGCCCAAAGAGAAGCAGAACCTGAAGGACTGTAGGCAGAGTTTCATCCAGGTCGCTGAAGTAGCTTGGCTGCTGAGTAAAGATGTTTTCTGAGATGGGATGGAGGGGCACATGGAGAGCGGGGGAGAGAGAGGGAGAGGTTAAAGCATGTGCCTTCACAAACTGCTTCACATGAGCTAAGGTGCCCTTCCTTCACACTGCACCTAACTGTGCCATTGACAACAGAGACCAAAACACAAGTTCTCGAGCCTCTGCTCCTCCATGGGAACATGCACGTGTTTGAAAGGACACCCATGGAAAGGAAGAGCGCTTGCAAGGGGGACTTCTGTCAGGGGCATCAACAACCCCGCCTCCCCTCCACCCAACATTTCTCCCGTACAAATGCACCCTCTGCCCCTGGGTTAGTTACCTCGGCAAAGGCAGGACTGGAAAGGTGCTTCTGCCAAGGTAACACTGCAAGGTCTACCCATTGCGAGCCCAGGGGGGTGCAAAGGAACTGCGGAATCCTTGAGTTAATTATCCATTTGTATTCTTTTCCGGGACTACAGCTCACATCATCTTTGGCTGCTGGTCATGCTGTTCAGGGCTGTTGGGAGTTGGACCCCAGCACTGTCTGAAGGACGATGGGTTTCTTGCCTTTGGCATTTAGTCAAAAGTAGGAAGCCCTGCCTACAAAGGGTTCAGTTTGGAACAGCTTCTCTTTAAAGTTCAGCATGGCTGTTCACTGATCTTCCATTCACCAACAAGGAAACTGTATTCAGCTTGATTAGAATGGAAATGCAAAAAAATGCAAAAAATGCAACAGGAGAGCAGCTTGCCCCCTTATTGTAATAAGTAAGGTTGCTGGCCTGAGAAGCGGGGGGGGGGGGGTCTGATCCAGTCTTCAGTTTCTAGAGCCCGCGCACTGTAAACCCTTCACCCCGCTCTGCAGTATCCCATAACTAACCAATCATCTTGCTGAGTAGAACATTGTTGCCTTTTCCAAAGAGCACACACAGATCCAGGATTTTGGGAATGTCAAACAAGAAGTTATTATACAGGATTTCTCCAAAAACAGATGGTGTGATGAAATGGTCCTGCGTAGGATGAAGGAAAGAGGCAGGGTTTTTAAACATTCCTTTATCAAGAGCCAGCAAAATGTCCATTGCTTTGACAAGAGCTGCAGACAAATCGTGTATCGTGCAAGACCCAGGGCACAGGGGCAGTGCGATACAAGGCAGCAAAGTCAGGACAAGTCACTGCGGAAAATGACAGGACTCGGAGCAGAGCCGTCTCTGCTGATGAGGCTGGCGCACCGGCCACTTCCTATGGGAGACGAGCATTAAAGCCTAAAAGCAATACTCTTGCTTGGCCTTGTTGTTTACAGGCTGCCTTTAAGTCCTTTTCAAAGGGTTAAAATAAACCATCTCCATGTATCTCAATGTATTTGAATGTGCCCAGCACTTACTCTTCATGCAGAAAATGCGATCTGGGTAAAACAGCCACCCAAAAGTCAGCAGCAGGCAGATCAGAGACCCTGCGCCAAACTCGGCTCCTCTTGCATTAAAAATCCTCATAGACACAGCGGGGCTGAACCACCTTTGGCCCTCGGCCAGCAGCAGCCACGGCAGCAGACTGAGCTGGGTAGGGGCAGGACAACTCCCCTTCCCTCCGCAGTGTTATGCCAGGTGCGTGGTGTCTATTAGACTCCAAGGCTACGGGCAGCGGTTCTCCTGCTTTACAGATCACCTGTAAAGTGTCTCGGCTGAGGAGAGGAAGACGAGTGCTTTCGACAGCTGAAACTCCTCTGGAAAAAATCAGTTCAGACCTCCAGCAAGAACACGTGCTCCCCTGGCAGCCCCCTGCCTGGAGCGGGAGAGGAAACAGCGGCAGAGGGGGGCTCCCGGCTCCCTTTTGGCCCTGGCCTCATTCATCACGTGCATGTGGCCCCCAGCAGAAAACCGGCTCCCTGCCTCTGGCATAGGCTATTTGTGAGGACTAATGAGAGAAGAAAATGTTCCTTCCCACCTTAGAGACAGAACAGACTATATGCCTAAGCAAATATATTACTGTTTTCCAAAAACCATTTGGAAACATCAGGGCATACTATGCTTGTATTCATGAATGACTAAGGAACCCTATTTGAATGGAGGAAGGGAGGATACTAAAGCAGAGCCTATGAAGGGAAAGCCATTAGGAAAGACAAACAGAACCTGACGTTTCTCACCAACCCTTCCCTCCTGCCAAAAAAGTAAAAAATAAAAAATCTATATATATATCTCAAAAACATGCAAAGTAAAGGAAGAAGTGGTATTTACTTTGGATTCTTTGTGAGTGGACATTCGAAGGAAGGTCAGGAAAACACTCCGATGAAGGCGTTTCTGTAGGTCATTCACCTGTGGGGGAAAGTCTGCCACTGTGTCAAACTTGCGGGAGGCATGGCGCAGGTACGAGTCCAGGCACTTCTGCAATGTCTCATCAAAGATCACCTGTCACAAGAAAATAAAGGCCCCATGGGAACTCCATCAAGGGACCAGAGCGGTATGCCAGTTCAGAGAATATACACTGCGTATTCAGTGGGATGGAGGCTGCTCACCAAAAGCAAAGATTGTACTAACCTCAGGGGGGAAAGACCAATTTTAAAGTTTCCTTAGTACACACCTATTGAGGGTATAAAAGGCAGGGAACCCACTTTTCAGATACTGTATTACTTATTTCCTGGCAGATTCACCAAACTATTAAGAAAGCCTTATAAATGGGATCATGAACCAGTTAAATGATTTTAATAGGCTAGTTATTTGTATTTTAACTGACTGGATAAGCCAACTGATTTGCCTATCAAAATCTGAAGCTATATTGAAGGATAACTCACACACTGAATTAACAAAAGTCATTGCTTGTGGGAATTGCCATCTTAATTACTTTCTTTTCAAATTTTGTATTTCAGTAACAAAGCAGAATCAAAATAGTTTCAAGAAAACTAACAAACATGCCTTTAACTCTCAGCCTCAGGACTTTACATTCAGCATGAAGTCCTATGCATACTTAGAAAGATATGCATAGGGTTGTGCCCATACTACATTACTATCTTGCCCTTCCTCCAAGGAACTGAGGGCAGCAGCCATAATTCCTTCACACACCCATTTTATCCTCACAGTAATGCAGAGGAAGTCCCTGAAAGGGAAAGTCCCTGGCCCTCAGCGGGCTCCTTGGAAATTTGAACCTGGCTCTCCCTTTCATCCTAGTCTGACACCTGAACCACTGTCCCACGCTGGCCACTAAAGGCTCATTCCCAAAGCCTGTTTAGGCAGGAAGACAATCATGCTGGCTGACAACCCTTGGGCCTTCTTCTCTCTGAACTAGCCTAGGATCACACCCTAAAGTTTATGCTGATTCACTCACTGAATAAAGCATTCCACCCTATTTGTAATCCTTATCTTATCCTAACAGCGACAGCCTGGCAAGCTAGAATGAAGAGACTACAGGCCGTTCTAGTCTGTGTTCAGAAGGGGAAGTCTTGTTTACCATACACTAACAAGGTCCATTTGCTCATGGAGCAGAGGTGGGCCTTCTTAATTGTGATACCTTCCCTATGGAATGACCTCACTGAAGTTAGGTGGGCTGCCGGTATGGAGTGCTCCTAGCAATGCTGTTTGCCCAGGCATTTCTCTAACCACTTACATGGTCAGCAATCTCTGGTCATCTAGAGAGATTTTATTATCCAGTTTAAAATGTATTGTACTAGCCAAAGGCCATGACAAATATATCACATCTATGCACATAGACAACAAAATTTAAAAAATTCAAACCATATAAAATATAAATTGACTAAAACATACTACAAGCAGAAATTCATCTTCAACTTAACTCCCAATCTCCAACGCAGTTTATAGCAATTTTTTCTAATCCTCTTTTCCTGATCTTTTTCCTGTGCTTTTATCATCACTGTTTTATTATTATAACAATTGAGTTTATGGCATTTTACTAAGATTTAATCATGGGACTAAAGCAAAAATCAATAAAGTCTCAAATAAATGAATCAACTTAATAATTATCATAGGGTGGCCTTCCCAGTCCTGTTACCCTCTTGCCCTAAACGCCTGCCGACACTTTTATCATGATCATGAAATAGTTAATGGTACACTAGGTACTAAAGATGCTTCTTGCTCAAATTCCATCCTTTCTCCAAGTGCAATCAGTGTGTTCCATTTCCTCTTAGGAGCAAACAGCAGTTAGCTGAGGAGTGGAATGTAAAAGGGCCCACTGGGAATATCTCTGGAGCAAGGGCTGAGCCTGCTGGAGACAGAACGTAAAAGGGCCCACTGGGAATATCTCTGGAGCAAGGGCTGAGCCTGCTGGAGACAGAACGTAAAAGGGCCCACTGGGAATATCTCTGGAGCAAGGGCTGAGCCTGCTGGAGACAGAACGTAAAAGGGCCCACTCGGAATATCTCTGGAGCAAGGGCTGAGCTTGCTGGAGACGGCTCCAGTATCACCTGCTATCCAAAGTCAGGTTTGGTCTTATCTGCCCAGCCGTGCCCCAGGGTTTCTTTCTTGATCACCAGGTAGCGTGACAGAACCTTAGGAGCTGTCATTTCTGTTGAGAACCTGCCCTGAGAAATTCAGAAAGGTCACGTCAAAGAATACCTGTACCTACAAATACCTTTGAAAGACGAGGAGATACTCTTCCCCTCACCCCTCACACGTACATTCCTTTCCTGTTTACAAAGCAATGATACCTGGCACCAGAATCTATCATGAGGCAAGGCCAAAAGCCAATCTAGATCATCGGCAACAAATGTGGCTCGCTCCAAGAACTCCTCCAGCAGCGCAAGATCTTTGGCTTTTGGTGGGGGCTTGTACAGCACAAAAGAGCGCTCTGTTTTCTTCTTTGGATGCTGTAGAAAAATAAAATGCCACAGGTGTCAACAGAAGCAAAATTAAACAGTAGCCCTTAGTGTTGCTGTTTGAGCTCTCTTAAAAACTCCTGAGGGCCAGGACATCTCTCATGTTTGTAGGAAACTTGGCTTGTGGTTAGCAAGAACCTTCATGTTTGTTCCCCCTGGTTTGCTGGCAGTAACTGCCTCCTTTTCCACTGCAAAGCCAGGGCTGATCAGTGCTTGGGGCAGAAACACAACACTTGCAGATCCTGCAAGAGCAGCGGCATTCCCTCAGCTCAGCACTCATGAAGATATGCAGCCTCCTCTTGCCACGTACCCAAAACAAAACAACAGGAGCTGGAGAGCATCCTTGGGGTGGGTCGGATCCTTCTGTGCCAGGATACTACACTGCACACATCACACCATGGTGTGAAACTGGAAAGTCCGTGTTCTGTGACTGTGTACAGATGAGGGGCTTTTCAGGGAGCTGAAAGTGAGAGCATGCCTGTAGGAATACACATGGCCGTTTGTTCTGTTCTGTGTGATTTGACGGGGGTTTTATTAATATTTTCAGTTTCTCTTTCTGTGGTTTCTGCTCAAACTAGTTTTACAACTGACCTGAGCTACAAGGCTCACTGACAGGCTTGAGAAGTCCAACCTGAAGTCTCAGGGGGACATGGTAAAAACGAAATATCTTTCATTTCCACTTAAATCAATGGGGCTTCAGTATACAGTTAAAACAACTTTGAAGGGACATGAACATTCATGTTCATAATCCAGAAAATGCTCAGCTTAGTCCAAGGCACTTCATAGCATCCATCCACAATCCTCCGGATGTGCTGGCCTACAACTCCCATCATCTCCAGCCAATGGCTACACTGAGGATGAGAGGAATTGTAGCCCAGCCTGCCTGAAGGGCATCAAGTTGGGGAAGGCTGCTTTAGAGTTCATACTGTTTTGCAAGCATGGCAGGGGCAGGACAAAGCTTATTATCATAATCTCCAATGTCAATGCCAACTCGAAGTCCTTGCAACAAAAGACACATAATTCAGACACACCGAGCCAAAAACAACAAGGAAACAAACATCAAGAAATGAAGCATTCTGCATTCAGAGAGTTCAGAACAAAGGAAGCAGCTTGCAGGGAACAATTTTGAAAGACCAGAGAGGTATAGAACTGACCAAGAAAGAAAGACAAAATGTATTCATGGATGCACAACTGAGCTGAAGGTATGAAAAAGAGGAGTATATGAAAACGAATGGCTATACTTATTCTGCAGGAGTGCAGAAAGAACAGTACGTATCTTGCAACCTGCAGCATTCGGCTTCCTAAGACTCTCGCCCAGCCTGCGCAACCCCAAGCGCATTTACTTGGAACGAAGTCCCACTCGTTCAGCTGCGCTTCCTCCCTCCCTGAGGGGAGCACTGAGGAGTGCAGACTTCCCTTTTGTTCAAAGAAGCCTTTCGAGCGCTTGAGGCTTGAGGACAGGCTCTTCCCTCAAAGGCGCCTAGGCCAATGCCTGCTGCCATCAGAGAAGCCAGAGAGGGGGCGGCACGAGGTGTTCAGTGGGTGGGGAGAAACGTGGTGCCTACATAGCACTTGGCTTCTCCCCGTGTTTAGCGGAAATCATGCAGAAGAATAACAAATTGGAGAATACATTAAACAACATAAAATCAAGTGCATTTGCAGAGTTCAGCATTTCTAAATGCAGGGTTTTTAAAGAGTGCAGAAAGCATACGGCCTTGGATACCAAGAGCTAGATCACCAGGCACCCTGTTAAGGCTAAGACTGCCAGTGCTTCCCTGGGCAAATAGATACCATATCTAGTAGGTACTCTCCAGCATGCCAAAAACTGCTGTGATTCACACTGGGCACCATTACCAGGGAGCAGAAATTTCTTTTTCAGAAACTGGCAATCCTCGTAAAGGCTGACCATGACCTTTACACTGCCTCTTTCAAATCTTTGGCAACTTCCCATTTTCACAAAAATGTTATAGGAGCTACAAAACATTATGGTGCTTCGGACCATTTAACTATCTTTGCTAACTGATATCAAAGATAATATGCCAGGCTGCTTAATTGTGGAGAAGCACTTGGCTTACCAGTGCTGGTAAAGTTTTCATCTTCCCGGTCAGCGAATCTTTCTCTGTAAACTGGAGCTCATCCAGTGGCAGTGCTGGCATGCTGCCGTGTTATCTTGGCCTTGCAAAACAACACGCACACAGTGAGAAAGGGAGCATACGGAACTGTTACAAGAACGCGCAAGCAACAGCAAAGACAACAGGTTGCTCTTGGTACAGGAAACACACCTAGAGGCATCATCGGGGTTTTCACTTGTTTTTACATAAACAAGGCCTGTATGCTGGCCAGCGACTAGGTTCAGAGGGGGGAAATGCCCAGTATCTTGTCGCAGGAAGCCCAGGGGGCAGCCTTTTCCCCACCTGGCACCCTCCAGCTGTTGTAGACGTCAACTCCTATCAGGCCCAGCCAGCATGGCCAATGGCCAAGGAATCCAAGTTCTCATCCAAACAACTGGAGTGCACCAGGTGAAGAAAGGCTTGGTTTAAAGTGATCGGTCATCTCATGTATAAAAAAGCACCAGAAAAATCCTAATGTAGTCTTCCTAGCGCAGTGCCAGTCAGTTCTGCTGAACTACAATTCCCATTTCCCTCAGCCAGCATAGGAAAGGTTATCCTAAAGAAAGCTGACTAATATAGCACTATCCAAGACCAACATTTAAAATGAAAAACTTATATCACAGTTTGCAATAATAATACAAATAAATTATTATTATTATTATTTTAGTAAAAGAATTTAAGAACTGTCCTAAGTAAATCCATTTTGGAGATTTGTGTGCTATATTGGACTACAAAACAGGAGTGATCAGAAAAGAACAGCCTTGTTGGTTCAGATTTCAGACAAAATGTTTCTAGATGCCCCTGGAAAGACTGAAGTGTTCCACTTGTTTGTTCACAGCATCTGATATCCAGAAGTATACCACTTCTGTACACTTCTCAATTGGGTTATAGAATTGTTAGGGTCTCTGTAAGTCGGAGACAAGTTGATGGCCCATAAGAACAAAGCTGTGATACTTTTAATATTATATTACTATACCATCCTATACCCAGAGTTCTCTCAGTAACTGCTAGCCTTAGAGTACAGTCCTATGGCTTGCCTCAAATGTTCTTGTAAATTCCCAAAATAAGAGGCTTATCTGTATCCTCTGCAAAGCAGCAGCAGCAGAAGCAGTGATTCTCACCTCTGCATCCTCACACCCTGCATGTTTGATGGATGGGCTTTTTTGCCCCTCCAGCAACATCATTTTAAACAGGAAGGGAAGAAAACTGGGGAAGCCTCGGGATAACTCTCCTCCTGGCCACTGAATACCTCCTTTCCTTCTCCTCTGAGGCAGCCGGCACAGTTCTTTGCAGGATGCCTGTGAGGGGGAGTGGAAAGGGAAATGGAGACAGGGCTTAAGGCTCTGTGTTCCAGCTGTAAGGTCAAGCACTGTGCCCAGCCTTGGAGCTAGGAAAGAAAAATATCCTACAAGCCCTAAGACACTGTCTAAGGATCACAGGGTTGCTTCTTCCAAAAATTTGAGAAAGAATTCAGCTGGAATCCCATTCTTTGGAGTGGAAAAGCTGTAATCCTCCACATGCTGTTGGACTACCATTTCCAGCAGATCCAGCTTGCATAATAAATGGTCAGGAATGCTAGGAGTCATAATCCCACCTCACCTCAAAGGCCACAATTTCCCTCTCCTTGCTATACCTGCTTCCCTGGAAGTCAGCCCCATTTCACTCACTGGACCTTTCTTCTAAGTAAGTGTTTAGAACTGCACAAAAGCAGGTTCACGGAAGAGAAGAGGACTCTCACTGGCTTTTCCCTAAGTAACCTGGCTGGGGCTTGAATGTGCAGAAGTGATGCACGTCCGAGGAACGTTATGGTCCTACCCCCATTTAATATGTCCTTAAACCACTTGCTACATTCCTATCTTCCAAGGTCGCCAATAGAAGTGTGCACATTCTTGCTCCCAAATTATAATGCACAACAACAGCATGAGAAAGGCCAGGTGGAAAGAAGGTGCCCTAACATCACGGCTGACTGAGGACTTTAGCCAGAATCTCTCTAGTTGCATCCTGGCACTCGAACCCAGGCATCTCCAACCCAGCATGCTGCAGAGATGCCAGACTACAATCCCCAAATTCCTCAGCAAGCATGGCTCGTGTTGGCCGAGAAGGGTGGGAGCTGCGGTCCAGCACTTCGGTACGGCCCCGGAATCAAGAAGGTAGCGGTACCCTGGGCCTCCCCAACGCCCTGACCAACAAAGAGGCTCGGAGCGCAACGTCCATATAGCCATAATGAAGTCTAAGGATGACGGGATTTGTAGTCTGGGTTGGGGCAAGCGAGCCCAGCCAGCCCCCCCCGAGGGTCGACGTCACGGCCCCTCCCTCAACCGCCAGCTCACCCCGTGACGTCACACCCACCCCACATCCGGGCATCCCCGCGCCCTCCCGCCCGGTCTCCACTCCTCGCCCGCTCCCCTCAGAGCACCCCCGGCCCGCCACGCACCCGCCGCCCGGCCGACCTCGCTTCCCGCAGCTGTCTTCGCCTCCTTATGAGAGGGACGCGGCCGCACCGGCCCCTCAACCGCCCGGCAGACGAGCACTTCCGGTGCCGGAGGAGCGCTTCCGGTGCCGGGAAGGCTCGGCCAGCGAGCGAGCGAGCGAGCGGAGCATCTCGGTGCCGTTTCTCTCCTTTCCCAAGGCGCGACTCGGGCTGCAAGCCCGTGCGTGGCAGGAACGAAGAAAAGACGGGCAGTTCCCAGCATCCCCAGCCAGAGATGTAGGAATGGGCGGGGGAGGGTGCGTGACTTGCCCCCTGTAACCATACATCTCATGCATGTCCCGACAGGAGAGAAGCTGGATCGGTTTCAGCGTTCCTGGAATGCTGGGAGTCCCTAGAGCTTTTGTGGTCTGAAGAGGCAGAACGAGTACCGTCTTTTGCATGCATAAGATACGTCCTGTGTGAACTAGCCTACAACTCTCAGCAGAGACAAAAGCAGGGACGTTTGTATAGTCAAAGTGATGGTTTTCCCAGTTGTGTGGCTGTGAGAGTTGGACCATAAGGAAGGCCAAGGGCCAAAGAATGGACGCTTTCGAGTTGTGGTGTTGTAGGAGAGAGTCCCTTGGATTGCAAGGAGATCAAATCAGTCACTCTTAAAAGGAAATCAACACTGAGTGTTCTTTGAAAGGACAGATACTGAAGTTGAAGCTCAAATACTTTGGCCACCTAATGAGAAGGAAGGACTCATTGGAGAAGACCCTGATGCTGGGAACGCTGGAAGGCAAAAGGAGAAGGGGACAGCAGAGGTTCAGGCGGCTGAATGGGGTCTCTGGAGAGGTGGGTGTGGGGTTGGGTGGACTCCAGGGGAAAGTGGAGGATGGGAGAATCTGGAGGAATGTTAGTTGTTTGTGGGGTCGTGAAGAGTTGGACATGACTTTGTGTCTGAACAACAACAACTCTCAGCTTGCCCCAGCCAGGAACCCTCCCAAGTAAGCAGCTCTGCGATTTCAGCCTAGCAATGCAATCCTATAGACCATCTCAAAAATCATTCCCATTGAGTTAAACCAAGGCTTACTGCCAGGTAAGTGGGCATCAAGTTGCAGCTTGAGGGTTGTATCCAGTGTGAGTCTAAGCGAAGTCCCATTCATTTCAATGTGTTTATTCTAAGCAGGACTTTCACTGGCTACAACTGATCTCCATAGCTATGCCTTTGTAACTGGAGGTAGTTTATAGCCATCAAAACTAGCAGCCATGGATAGCCTCCTCCACAAGTTTTCTAATCCCCTTTAGAACCATCCATGTTGATGCTCATCATTGCATCTTGTGCAAATTGTATACTATGCACTGTGTGAAGAAGGACTTACTGAAAACACAGACTGCCATTGCCTCCCTCCTCATATGCATACAAGGTATGGTGGATAGAGACTAACCTAACATAATCCTCCCAGATGTCATTATTCCAACACTGCTACTACAAAGATTTCTTTCACATACATTGAGTACCAAAATACTCAAGGTTGTAAGTTTAACATAAAGATGCACAATTAAAAATAACCCCCACATAACTTATAAATCATTAAAGCAGTCATCCTAATAAAATAATCTTAATAAAATGAAGAACACATCAATGATATCAAATCCTATTTTTCCTCCTTTCACTAACTGTCATAATATTCTTAGGGGCAACTATATGTCTAAAGGTGAGAATTTGGAATTTTCCAACTCAGTTAAATTTTAAACAACCCTAAAAATTGAGGATTGTTTTTTGTTTGGTGGGTTCCCACATGGACCAGCACAGCTCTGATGTGATTTTTATTTTTATTTTAAATGTTTGCAATTTACCTAATGACCATAAGGGAAGGGGCCAAGTGGGACTCTTTAGGAAGGGAGCTCCACTGCCCCACTGCATCATCTTGCTCTGGCGAAAGAAGTTGAATGCTTTGCCTTGCTGCAGAGAACAACAGCCTGATTCTGTAGGAAATCGAGATCAGCCTCTCCTGCGGATCTTAAGGGGTGCATTACTATTACCAGCAATGCATTACTAGGTTTGGGAAGGCAGCTTATTAAGAGTCTCCAAACCAGAAAAGTAGGTAGAAATGCTTAATTTTCTTACATTTGGTCAGAATTGTTTATTACATTGGGCTTATTTTTATCCTCCCTTATTCTTTCTTGCAAGGCACCCATAGTGACTTATAAGGTGCTCCTCCTCAATGTTATATCCTCACAACAGCCTTTTCAGGTAGGCCGGGCTGAGCATCCGGGGCTGACCCCAAAGCATCCACTGAACTTCATGGCCAAGTGGAGGCTAGAGCCTGGATCTCCTGAATCCCTGACCAACACTCTAGCCAGTATACCACACTAGCTCTCCGAATTAAGGACAAATGAGGCTACAAAGAAACGGTTTATTGTGCTGGGCTGTTGTGCTTTCTCTACATTCTCTGCAAAATAATTCTGTCTGTTTACTTTTTGTCACTACTAGTGCTCCTCTCTCCAGTGAGTCTCTTGCTTCAGTGTCCCTGCATTCTCCAAATCCTTCTGCCTCATCTATTTATTCTGACCATTGGCTAATTCTGTGGTTGTTTCCTAGCCTCTAGCTGTTGAAGTTTAGCTAGTAAGATCCTCAGGGCCGAGCGCTTTCTGGTTTTTCCTTGTATCACTTTATGAAAAGCCCTGTACCAGCTTCTTCAAACCTCATGCCCTCCAGTTGTTTTGGACTGCCATTCCAAGCATTTCTGACTGATTGGTCTACCTGGAGAGCACCAGACTGGGGAAGCCTGATACTAGATACAGTGATGAACCTGTAGGTCCTCAGCAGGCTGAGGGGCACCTCCAGCGGCACCTGCAAAGGTGTTCCCATTATGGTCCCTCTGGGCATCTAGCATTCTTACTTTCCTTTTTTAGAATATATAGTACATACATGGATTTGTGTGAAATGCATCCAATGTACTAGCAATGTCACATAGGCGTCAGCAAAAGGGGACCAAATGTCCAAATCTCAATCCTCAATCTGCAATATAGGAGGAGCAGTCATCCTTTCAGTATTGTAAGAGCAGGCTTTTAACTGTATTTTTTCTATCAGCATAGATAACCAATTTATACTATTTGTTAATTTCCATGAGGCAAGTATACAATTTAAAAGAGCAGGTACATCCGAAAATGAAAGGCTGTTCCAGTACAAAATATATCTGTGTAATAATCTCCCTTGAAAAAGGCAACTGCTGGAGAGTGCCAAAACATATCTTTAAATGAAGCATTAGCTGTAACACTATCGCCAGCAATTATCTGAATTAAACAGTTCCTTATTAAAGAGATGTTGCAGTGTCCAACAGGCACAGAGCCAGCATTTTTCCTGGATAAGGCACGAGTAGACAGCAAAATGGTTGAGGACCTCTCACATAGATAGTAAAATCTTTGTCCCTTGGGATGTAAGAATTTTGGCATGAGCCCTTGGATTAAAGGGGCAGCTTCACACACCGACCCAAAGGCTCACAGTTCAGGCTCCTGACTCAACCGGATAAATGGCTCAGTGGGGATTTTGGGAGGCTCAGCAACTCCGTCTCTGCAGACTGGATGCGGAAGAACTGCAGCCTAGCATGCGCTCTTGATCCATGGAGCAAAGCTGTCTGACCAGCAGACGGTGGCACAGGAAGTAAGTTGCTTCAGGCGCTGATCTGAGATATGCACATCCTGTGTGCCAAAGTCTAGACTTCAGCAAAGCCTTTGACAAAGCGAACACGACATCCTGAATACCAGTCTAGCAAAAAGAGGGCTAGCTAGTGCAACCAATGAGGGGGATCCACAATGGGCTGCAAAATCGGACTCAGAGAGTGCTCATCAGTGGCACATGCTCAAACTGGGGACAGGTGACAGGTGGGGTTCTGAAGGGTTCTGTCCCGGGACTGGGATTCTTCAACATGTTTATTAATGATTTAGATGAGGAAGTACAAGGAAAGATAAATTTGCAGATGACACAAAGCTGGGGGGAATAGCAAATATCCAGGAAGACAGAGATAAGATACAGGGTGATCTCAATATTTATATTTTTATATTTATATTGCGATTTATATCCTGCCTTTTTCCTACAAAGGGCTCAAGGCAGCTTACAAGTTAGAAGAGTAGACAGAGAGCAACAGAATGAAATTTAATAAGGACAAATGCCAAGTTTTTCACTTAGGAACAGGAAACCAGATGCATTGCTACAAGATGGGGAATACATGGCTGCAAAGGAGAAGGATCAAATGGTTGTTGTAGGTTACAAGCTAAATAAGAGCCAACAATGTGATACAGCTGCAAAAAGGGCAAACACTATTTTGGGGTGCATCAACAGAAGTATCACTTCCTAAACACATGAAATACTAATTTCCTCAGCACTGACCTCACCTGGAGTCCTGTGTCCAGTTCTGGTACCTAAGTTTGAAAAAGATGCAGAAAAGCTAGAAAGGGTGCAGAGCAGAGCCACAAGGATGATTGAGGGACTGGAGGCAAAGCCCTATGTGGAAAGATTGAGAGAACTAGGCATGTTCACCCTGAGGAAGGAAAGACTGAATGGGGATATGATAGCACTCTGCAAGTACCTCAAAGGCTGTCACAGAGAGAAAGGACAGGAGCTCTTCTTGATCACCAGAGTGCAGGACACAGAATAACCAACTTAAAAGAAACCAGATTTAGACTAGACACCAGGAAGAATTTCCTCACTATCCGAACCCATTACCTGGGAAAATTGTGGGCTCTCCCTCACTACAGACATTCAGAAAGCATCTAGGCAGTCATGAGTGGGTTGTGTAGGCTTAGCGTCCTGCAGTACCTGGGGGCTGAACCTGCTGGCCTTCTGGCCCCTTTCAACTCCGCTATTCTATGATTCTATAACCTTCATTGGGAGGGCAAATTAAGCTCCCCATCAGTCCTTCCAGGGGCCAGATACAATCAAAGGTGTGGCCAATTGGGAGGGGAAGGGAGAATGACACCCAGGGTATCCCTGATCTCTGATTGGGGCCATCAGTAGGGATTCTTCCAGCAAATGGGAATCCTCTAAGCTCCATCCCCTCAGTTGTTTGGATTGGATGGGGAGGATAGTGAGCCCATGAGCGAGGGGTTCTAGGCACCTGCCCCACAGCATGCTGGAACAGGATGTGGGGTGCTTTGCCCTGCTCTTTATAGGAAGAAGAGAAACAGCGTACAGTCCCTTGTAGATCTTTGGATTCCGGTCTTTAACTAGTATGTTAGATTTCAGAATTTCACAAAAGCAGCGCAAGGTCTCCTGCTTCAGCTTTCAAACACTGACTCCCTTTTTATAACCATGATGTTTGTAATTTTTGCAAAATTTGCTGGATTGAGCTGAGCTATTATAAACTGTCACTGGCAAAAGTATCCCAATCAAAAATGGCCAACCTTCACTTTGGACTTGCATGTACAATGTTTGTCAAAGGAAATTAAACATGAATCATTCATTTTAAAAGATCAATAATTCAGAAGATGTGACAGAGAAACGATTAAGATTGTAGTATTCTGAACAGTCCATTGGAGTGCAAAGGAAGCCAGCAGAACCTTTCCTGAGTTTACTCTACCCGCAGCGATCTCCTTTGGGAGAGAAAAGGCTGGCACCTTAGTAAGTAAACAGTGGATAATGTTGAATTACAAATGAGAATAATATACCCAGTCTCCCCTAAGGTATTACCACACCACTGCCTCTAATGGTGAATTGCAGTGAGCACTAACAAGACTGGAGTCAAAAAGGGGCCACCAAGAAACAAGACAATGGTATTGACATACTTGGGGGAACATCAAAGTTTGCAGAAATACCAAAATGCCATATTAGGAGGAAAACAACTCCGAGAGGA